ATGTACCTTTCGGGCAAATGCTGGCAGGGAGCATGGCACGACACATTCCCTCCGCGGCCATTTGGGGCGGCGTGCGAGAGGGATCCGTGGCCAGCGCGGGCGGGGCGGGGCCAGCGCAGCACGACGACCACCCCATCGCCGCATTCGCGTCCGCGCCACCGCCCGTCCACATGGCCGCCGACTGACACAGAGCTGTCGAGGTATCGGCTGAGGTGGCGTCACGCCCATGTACGGCGCGATTGCGAGACCGTATAGCAGCAGTCGCCTTTCCCACAACCAAGATATCCGGGATCCACCTGCATAAGCGAACGTTTTCTTTCACGAGCTCGGCGTGCGCTATCGAAAGATCGATAATTTCATTTCTCGCTAGCATCGAAGCAGGCAATGCCTGGAGAGTGCCGGATGTAGCTGCCATCAGCACGCATCGTGAGCCGGAAATTGTCAGTGGACAAATATAACAGAGGCAGCATGTGATATACGTGGCAGCAGCCCAAAATGTGAAAGCGACGAGTCTATCGTTGGGCCTGCTGCTATTGCTGTTCCAGATGGACCCGTGCGCTCCATACCTAATATGCGACTCTACATTAGAGTTCGTCCTTGGTTTAGCCCGGTGCCGTATATCGCATTTTCCAACAGCGCCACATCCCGATCAGCCACTGCTGCCGTCTGGTCCTCGTGAACACAGTTTTGAGTTGCACAATTGTCTCGTCGCAGTGGTGACAAGCACTGCCACGACTCAGCAGGCCCTGTCAGCATTCGAGCACTGCTGACCTTCACGTGCCAGTGTGTTCTAGGGCAGAGCAGGTTCACACGGGTATCGGCCCGGCTCGGCTTGCGCTTGCTCTCAGATGCGCGGCCAACCTTCCGCTGTCGTCAACTCACGTCTGCTTCCAATTCACATTCCAGCTTGTCGCTAACCAGCGGCGACTCGCACATGCGCAACAGGCAGCAACTCCTCGACGAACATTAGTATCGGCGACGCTCACGCTCCAAGGCTCTGTCATGAGCGGACAGGCTCACACGCGAGCGGACCTGTCGCGGTAGCACTTGCGGTCTCCTCAACTCGACCACCATTTCGCCGAACGCAAGGCTCTCACCTCAGCTAGACACTATCGGCAAGATGCCGCACGCCACTGCGGACGAGAACGGCGTCCCGATGGACGAAGATGCGGCCATCAACAGTTTCTTGCGCGACCAAGACGGAGGAGGCGTGGACTATGGCGACAGAGAGTTCGACCAGACCGACAAGGCGGACGATGCCATCGACTTCGAAGACATCAGCGACGACGATCTGCCAGAAGAGCAGGAGGCCGCGGGTCAGCCAGAAGAAGGCAGGGAGGATGAGCTTGAAAGCAACCTTTTCAAGCAGGTCGCGGACTACAATGCGCAATCAGAACCGCGGCATACCAACGGCTTCCACGACTCGAGCGAGCCAGATCTGTTCGGCGAGACTGAGGAGGGTAATGACCTTTTTGGCGAGCGCATGTCTTCTTCGCCGGAGGTAGAGCGCCACTCTCAGCACACCATTGCACAGGTTCGCTCGAGCGGGCTGGCTCTGCCCAAGTCGACACTAGCACTCCCTACGCACACAGGTGCCTATCCGTCGGCGAACTCCTACTCACAATTGAGTCCATCTTCCGCAAGCCCACCACCTTTCGCGGATCAGGGCTACGCTGGGTTGTCTCCAACCAGCATGACTTCTGAGGATGAGGATGAAGACCTCGATCCCCAGGTCGCACTGCAGAGGCGACTCTTCAAAGTGTCGAAAATGAGGGCTACTGGTGATGAAGCAGATGAGAACTCAGGAGAAGCCGACATGGTCACGTTCTATCAACTGTACCCTGACTATGAAAAAACGCAAGCACCCCGCTTCGTTCAGCTATTCCCGCCACGAGCTGTCGAGTACAAAGGCAAGGTTCCGCTCAAGCCTCCAAAGGTGGTCGTCCCAACCAAATTATCTCTTGACCTGCTGCACGATCAAGAGCGAGGCTTCAAGAGCTTAGTCGCCGGGAACAAGTCTGGTCAGGAGAGCACGTTCAACAATAGCCTCGTGCAGGCCGACGTCAAGCACGCGGCCGACAGCGACAGTGACGAAGATCTTGCCCTGGACGAATTCGAGGATGGTGAGCGCATTGCGGGGCTCACGATGCACGATCTGGCGTTGATATGCCAAGACTGGGACATTCCGAGCCTGAATTCGGAGGATGACAGATCTGTGAGTGACGTCGAAATGGATCTTGCAAACGGTGATTGGGATGGAGAGGAGCGCAGCCGGCCATCGAAAAAGCGAAAGCTGGGCGACTTCAAGCCTCGTAGTACCAATCCTCTACGTGAGCCTCAGCTTCCGTTGGAAGATCCCGAAAGAACGACTGCAAAACTCGCCAAGGCCGTGGCCCTGGATCTGAATGATCCCAACCTACTCATCGATGAGCACGCACCGCAGACAAAGCGAAAGCTCAAGCGCATGCTTGGCGATAGCAAGCGTGACAGTGCCTTCAACCGCGATCTTGCGAAACGCTACAACATTAGCAATGACCATGCATACGATCTCTTGAAGGAAAACCATCAGCATAAAGTCCGCAGCACTCTCGGCAGTATGGCTGTCGAACACAGCTTTCCCGCGGCTAAGCTTCAGTTCCCGTTCTACAAAGTCAGCCTGGACACGAAAGCCAAGCGTGCCTTTCACCGGCCTCACCTCGACCTCAGGCAGCAACCTCCAACTCGTGAGCACCGATTCCACAAAATCAAGCACATCAAGAGGAAGCACGTGCGTGGCCGTGACGCCAAAGAAGTCTTCGCGAAAGCCGAAGATCTTTCTCTTGGTGACTCTGCTTCAATACTGCTACTGGAATACTCTGAAGAAGCACCGATGATGCTGTCAAATTTTGGCATGGGCAACCGCTTGATCAACTACTATCGCAAACAGCATGCCGACGATCAAGAACGTGGAGAGAAAAAGGAGATTGGCGAAGCACAAGTCCTCATGACTCAGGACAAGAGTCCGTTCGCGAATTTCGGTCACGTCGACAAAGGTGAGACTGTGCCAACGCTGCAGAACGGCATGTATCGTGCTCCGATCTTCAATCACACACCGAAGCATACCGACTTCGTCATTGGTATCAGCAGCACATATGAAGGCGGTGATCGCTTCTATCTGCGCAACGTCGAGAACCTCTACACGGTGGGCCAGCAGTTTCCTCTCGCAGAAGTACCTGGACAGCATTCTCGACGTGTCACCGATGCTGCCAAGAAGCGACTGCGTGCACTGTCGTATCGCATTTACACCAAGTCTTTGACACGTCGAGACAAGGTATTGGACAACGCGTCATTGATGCCGCACTTGCCAGGACACGACATGCCGCAGACGCGAAGCAAGATGCGTGAATTCATGAAATACGAGCGCGTCACCAACAAAGGAGATGGGTCAACAGGGGTGTGGGTACCTCACCCTGGCCAGCCTGTACCAGACGCCGAGACCCTTCGCAGCTGGATCCGGCCTGAGGATGTTTGCTTGTTGGACTCTATGCAAGTCGGTGTGCAGCACCTGACGGATCTCGGGATTAACGAAGGCAAGGACGTGGACGAAGACAAGGATATTGACGAAGGAGCAAATATTGAACTCCAACTCGCACCATGGCGCGCCACCAAGAACTTCCTCAACGCTTGTCAAAACAAGGCTATGCTCAAGTTGCACGGAGATGGCGATCCGACCGGTCAAGGTCTCGCTTTCAGCTTCGTCAAGACTAGTATGAAGGGAGGGTTCCAGGCACAAGGTGAAAGTGTTGAGGACCGCCTCGACAAGCAGAAGCGCAAGGATAACGGAGGGCATTCATACAATGTCCGAAGGCAGCAGGAGCAATACGACGAGTCCATCCGACGCATCTGGGAGTCGCAACGACAGAGCTTAATGAAGACAGAGGAGATCTCGGATGATGATATGGACGACGAACCTGACCGTAGTGCGGAGTATAACATAGGGCGTGTCCACACGCCACGCTCATCGGTGAGTACGCCGGCAGCATTCGCCGGCCGACACGACGACGACTATATGAGTCAGTTTAGTGGACATAGCGCTGGTCGCGGCGACAAGACTCTGGTCATCACTCGCAGCCAAGGCCTCGATCAATTCGGACAGCCTCTCCCTGACATCACGGAGACAGTCACCAATCCAGCAGTCATACGAGAGTACAGAAAGCGAGTATTGGAGAGGGAATATGCTAACGCGGAGTAAGTGATCTCTCGACATCGCAGCCTCGACCAGTACTGATTATGGACGCTAACTTTGATCACAGTATCACTAACTATGTTCCGACCGGTGACGCCGAAAAAGACGAATTCGCCCGTCAGCACATTGCCAAAGAACTTGCTCGCATCCAGCGCAATGCAGACCGCAGAGAGGCTCGCGAGAAGGCCAAGGCACGAAACGCCTCAGCCACCTCGCCGCCAGCCGCAGCGTCGCCCGCTGCGGACGCCGAAGGCTCTACATCCGCTGCGAACAACGGAGCCGAGAACGCACCTCAAAAGGGCAAAGGCCGCAGTAAGGATGGCACAGCACGCAAGTGCGCCAATTGTGGCCAAGTTGGCCATATCAAAACCAACCGCAAGTTAGTTCCCACCACTTTCACATGCCCCTTTTGTTCTCATCGCAACAAGATCGGCGAAGATGGAAATGGCATCCACGGGCGTAAAGGCGGCAAGCCCGCCAACGCCAATGGTGGAAAAGCTGTTTCCAACTTTGCGACTACTACTTTCTCGAACTTTCAGCTTTGAGAGTCGGTGGAAGCAGGCAAAGCCGATCATTGTTGTATCAGGTAATCTTTTGTTTGTGCCCCTCTAGCCTTTTGCTGAGAGGGCGCTTCTGAATTGTTTTCATGCTGCGTGCATCTGAGGCGAGAACTCTAGCTGACATAGACATTTTCAAAAGGCTCTGTCCTCTGCTGAATGGAACGATGAAACCCGAGGACGCTGGCCTGAATGGAGACAGTACATTTGGCGCCGTTCCCGCACCGCTGACCTTGTAGATTTATATCACGACGTGGAAGACGTTGGCTCGAAGCGGTATCGACTGCACCTACGGACCTTGGATTTGGCAGAGCGAACTGTTAGACAGATATCTGCAAAGCTTGAGTAGCCCATTATGGCGTGTCGACGCCAGAGCTCTGTAAATCACTAATCGAGATATCGCTATTGCTCGCGAGTTCGCTCGCGCAATCTTCTCGTCGACTTCCCTTTCTGCGAACTACTTTCACGGTGTGGGCCATCCTCGTGAATTCATGTCGGAGCTATCTGATCTCTGTCGCCTAACCTTCACCCGGGGACTTCCGCTCGCTCGCATGAACCGTAAGCATACGCGAGTGGCGTCTCTGCTTTCTATGTGATATAGTACAGCCTGTGCGTATCGTGCCGCCGATCATTGATTACACTCATGCAGTGTCCATCTTGTCGTCATCCTTCTTGTCGTTGCTCTTCGACCCGCTCGGCTCGCCGCTGCTGTCCAGCAGAGGCTGGCTCTCGCTCGCCTCGCCCTTTTGATCCTCCGGCACGCTCTCGAGATTGGTCTTTCCCTCTGCCTCTTCTCTCGCCTTCTTCTCTCGCTCTTGCCGCTCTTTCTCCTCCTCCATACTCATCCTCAGCACAAGCGCCAGCTCGGGATCCAGATTCGGGTCCACTCCGAATTCGAAATCGTTGCCGGCGGCCCCGTCTGCGCCTCCTCCATTCGTCGCCGCTCCGCCATCTTCACCCTCCAGAATTGGCGATTTCTTGATGACTTCTGACAATAGTTCGGCTCCGGGAGGGATGATTTCGAGATGTGAGCCGTCGTTCGATTTCACAGCTTCGTTGAAGGCCCGTAGCTTCTCCAGGTTCTCGTCTGTGAGATCGCCGAACGCGATGATGTCAACGCTGGTGTTGTTCTTCTTCATCCGTTTGGCGAGTTTGGTCAGGGTGCTCGATGAGTCGGCGATGGGTGAACATGTGAAGACGATGATTCGCTGACGTTGCGACTTGTTCTGCCTGTGTTTGAGTGCGAGCTAGGTGGGATGGTCAGCACAGAACAGCATCTCACGACCTAGCGAGACGTACGGATGCAATCATGATGCCGGTGTAGAGGTGTGACTGTCCCTTGACGCGAGTGCGGTGTAGGCCATCGAGCACTTTGCCGTGGTTGGTAGTGAGGGTGGTGAGGACTTCGGGCCCATTGCCGCCCATGCTCATCAGGCCAACGGACGATTCGGGGTTCGCGTTGGTCTTGTTGTGGAAAATGAGATTTGTGGCATCGACCTGCGCTTCCCATCGTGAGGGAACATAGTCGCCGTTTCTGCTGCTCTCGCTGTTGTCCACCACGATCATCGTCGCCTCGAGCCCCATCCTGGCGGTTTCTGTGAGTGTGAAGCAGTGAGAGGGGAGAAAATGTTCTGGACGTCGGCGATGTGATCGATGGCGATGGTGGAAAGAAGAAGAGGTGCTTTGCGATCAAGTGGTAGATGTTCGTTGATAGCAGCAGCACCTCAGTGAGCTCGCTGTGGCAGTCAGCAGTCGGCGCACGCGGCGGATCGGCCCTTGGGGAGCTGCGGCGCGTCATTGTTTACACCACGCTGGCTTGAACATTGCATCTCCACGAAGGACATGCCCACACGCACAGTCGACTATCACAACAGAATCATCGGATCGGATCATCATCGACATCGACATGGACCAAGTTGCGCAAACTCCTCAGCGCAGTCCGGTGCGCCGGGTGCCGGGCATCACACAGACACAAAAACAGGCCCTCGTGGACAACCTTCAGCTCGAGAGTAGGCGCCTTGCATTCCACTCGGTCGATGTGTTCAGCACTAATGACGCGTATAGTCACTGAGAGAGCACGCAAATTACGTGCGCAGTATGCTCTACAGGCTCAAGGACTCCGCGCGCGCTTGGAACTACGCGTCAACCGCATCCCACAAGCTTTGCGAAAACGCAACATCCAAGAACTAATAGACGAGCACCACGCCAAATCACGGCCTGCTCCTCCCCCGTCAGCTCCAATCGCAGTAAAGTCGCAACCAAAGCAGGCGGTGCAGCCGGCACCCATACAGACGAAGCCATCAATCAAGCGGAAAAGGTGTGTTTTGAACCTCTGCACGCGGCCACGGCCTGTGATCTGACCTTCGACAGCGATGAAATGGCATCAGCAGACGACAAGGAGAATGTTCCAAGTGAGCAAGCTCTAGATATTCCCAACCCAAAGAAAAGGACGAAGACCACGGCGACTGCGAATTCCAAAGCGACACGCGCGCGAAATGCTGGTCCTGCCGGCGTGCTTTCTCCAAAATCCCATAATTCACGTACACTGCCACACTCACCGATCAAGCCGGCAGAGAAGCCAACTACAGCGCGGCCTATGTCATCCGCTCAAAACACAGCAAGCCGAGCAGCTCGTGCACCCAGTCGACAAACGAAACGACCTGGGACCGCCTCCGACACGGAGGGGAGAGCGAGCGAGGCTAGCAACACCAGTGCTGGCACGACTATAGTGACAAAGCCTGGAACTCGAAAAGCCGCGGCGCCCAAGAAAGCAACCACCACGGTCAAAGGTACGGGAACCAGCAGGAAGCCGGCCGTTGCAAAGGTTGAGACCGCTCCGTCGGCTGCCGCGACCAGAGCTCTGAGGAAGAGGAATTAGCAGCGTGGCAACTCCAAAGTGGCAGAATCAATGCTACTCAGGAGCCGATACGCCCAATCAGGTGTCAGGCTACTCACAGGGAACTTGTCTCTGCATCGCGCGTTGCAGTCTTGCTTCTCGCCTGCTGCAGCCCAGGCAAGGAATGCTTTGGAACTCCGCGCTCCCGGCGAAAGGCAAGTGTCCACTCGACGAACAGAAATGGCTCGCTTTCTCTCAATTATGCTCAACATTGAAGTGTTTTGCTAGCGACTGGCAACGCGAAGCTCAAGCCTGAGCAGCGTATGTACTTCTTTGCTTCCACGAGGCAACCAGGCCTCGCAGAATACGCCAGGCACTACCTCGAAAGCAACAGTCTCGCACTCCACATGGCTGGACAAGGAGAGCTTGTTGCGATCAGGTCCGCTTCTCTCAACGGATCGCTACTCGCAGCATTCGACATGGCACTGGGCCGGGATAGCCGTGTGCAAGCATGAAGACAGACGAAGCTGTTTTAGCCTTCGGAAACAGAGCGTGGTCGCTGGCTTGACTAGATTTCACAGCTTTAGGGCACACGAAGTGAAGTGTTGGTTGGAGACCGGCCAGGCGGTCGCACGATAGGACAAGGATCTGTAGCGGCGTGTCTGGGGCACGTGGCCCCGAACATCATCCGTATCTTACAACGCCTTCGGCCAGGCGTTGGCGCGCCCGCGGCGAGTGCTGTGCCCGCGTTCGCTTCCTGGAATTGCTGTGCGAGATGTGGCCGCCGGGTCGTCTGCACGTCATCATGCGCCTGTGCAGAGGAGATATTGGGGATGAGCGTAGCAATCGCCCCAGCACACTAGCGAATAGTGGATAGATGCAGGGGTATACAGCACATTGCATCCAGTCGACTGGTCCATCATGCGGGCGCATATCTATTGTACCCTTGAAGGATGATACCACGCTCGAACTCGTATGACAAGACGATATAACCATGCTCACCCCGTGTGCGGCCAAGCGTCGCCTATCAGAGCTTCTGAATTTATATCCGCCTTGTGATGGACGCCAGCATCAAGCAGCCCACTAGCTCCAGCTGCTGTCCCTATAGTTTGGCTGACCGAACATCCAGATAGTGGCTCTCGTGAAGTTCATCAAACTTCTCAGTGCGCTTAATCATGGAGAAAGACGCAATTGAACACACCAGCTTTCCCGAACCAGAGAAGCATACCAAATTCGACGACAACGAGGTCTTCCGCACCGATGGCGAGGTCAACTTTCGAACAGTTGGATGGCCGTGAGTTTGTCGCCTATGCTCCCATCAAATCCGAGTGCTGATTCATCCTCCTAGGAGAGCGTCGGTCATCTTCTTAAAAGTCATCTTCGCAACAGGCGTCCTCAGTATTCCGGTCTCAATGGTCAGCCTTGGTGCCGTTGGTGGCGCTTTGAATGTCATTGGTTGGGGCGCTTTCAAGTGAGTTAAGAGAGGTACATGTATCTTCTTTGCGTGATTTGGCTGACGGCGGCATAGCACGTATACAGCCATCATCCAAGGTGCGTAAGCCCATGTGCATCGCGGATGATGCAGGTAGCTGACGATTTCTCGAAGGCGACTTTCGAAATAATCATCGAAAATGCCACTCGATTGCGGACATGGTATGCATCTGAGTCTTTAGCCGTGTGAATTCAACGCACCCACTGACCTGCTCTCTTCAACGTAGGCACAAGAAGTTGGTGGTGCCTGGGCACGCGAACTGTGCGGAGCACTTTTCATCGTTGCGTGAGTTGAGCTTAACCACTAGCATTCCTTCCCTTTCGACTCCACCCATTCCCAAGCTTCACAACGCAGGAAGCGAACAAACGCACATGCTGACATCGCCGTCCTACTGTAGACTGATCCTGTGCTCCGGGTCTGGCATTCTCGGCGTCACAATCGGTCTTAACGCCCTCTCCAGACACGGAACCTGCACTGTGACCTTCTCAGTCATTGCGGCGATCGTCGTGATCGCCGCAGCCTCTTTCCGCAAGTTTCAACAAATCGGCATCTTGACTTGGGTCGGGTTCATCAGCATATTCGTTGCCGTATTCATCATCGTCGTGGCTGTCACTATCCAAGATCGACCAGCAGCAGCGCCTGCCACCGGGGACTACGATCTGGGTTTCAAGGCCATTCCCTCTGGAGTCACGTTTGCGGCCGGAGTGGTGGCATCTTGCACCATCTTCGTGTCTTCTGCTGGTACGTGTGCTCGGCACAACCAGTGGATCTCTGCTAACGCGTCTCACAGCGACCTCAGCATTCCTGCCTGTGATCAGTGAGATGTAAGAAGTGGTCCAGTCTCCCCTCGAGGTAAGTGAAGCTGATCAAAAGTTCAGGAAGAATCCGCGAGACTATCGCAAAGCCGTCTACGTGTGTATGGGCTTTGTGACCGCATCGTATCTGGCGTTCTCCCTTGTCGTGTACCGATGGTGTGGGCAATGGGTTGCGAGTCCCTCGCTAGGCTCTGCCGGACAAACAATGAAGATGGCTGGTATGTGATATCTGCCAACAATGTCATGCCCAACAGGTGTTTGCGCTAACAATTCTGCCCAGCCTATGGAGTCGGACTCCTTGGCTTGATCATAAGTGGGTGTCTGTACCTCCATATTGCCTCCAAATACGTTTTCGTCCGCATCTTGCGAGATAGTCGACATTTGCAAGAGAACACTTTGGTGCACTGGGGCACATGGCTCGGTTGTACTATTGGCCTTGGAGTCGTATCCTGGCTATTAGCCGTGGCAATCCCCATCTTCAATTACTTGCTGGCTCTTGCGGGTAAGAGACTTGCTGAGTGCACGGCCCGATGCAGATATCATCGCTAACGTTAGCAGGCGCTCTCTGCTTTGCTCCCATCGTAATGATTCTGCCTGGCTGGCTCGTAAGTGCTGTCCTTGCAGGATACTCCCTCTTCTACCGTACTCTGGTAATGCATTGGGCTCCGTCTGAAAACGTGCTAACGTTTATACGCCACTTCTAGTGGCTATATGACCATAGCGACTGGTACAAGCGATCGGCCCTACACAAAATGGCGTACGGCTTTCACGCTTTGTTCATTCCGCTCGGTGTCTTCTTCCTAGTTGGTGGGACATACGGAGTCGTGAAGGAGATCGTCAACGCGTACGCGGACGGCCTGATTGGCGGCGCTTTCTCTTGTGCTGATAACTCCAACTCGTCTTGAGCAATCAACGGCCAGACTTCAAGTGTGAAAACCCGGACCGGAACTACTTCAGTCAAGTGTCGTCGTAGGGTGATTTTCCGTTGAAATCCAAAGATTACTCAACATCTGGCGCGAAAGCTGGCGAGCATCCTTGCAATAGCTGCACGCCTCATACAGTCTGTCATCTGCATACGTGGATTCAAGGAACATAAGCTCGAGAACCCTTCGGGGCCGTCCTGCCAACACGCTGCCCTAAACCAGCCGTCGGAGGGTTGCAAATGCCCAGAGAGCGACTTGTACCCTGCTATTCGATCCCCGAATGCAGGTGAGGAATTGTACTTACCAATATGACAACAGGCATGAGAAGGAGTTCGTCAAACCTAAATAGGCAATAGGTGATGCTTCCTCGGTCAAGCTTGCTGAGCCCCACACAATTTACCGCATCTTCCTTCCGAGCCGACTGTTACTACTTGCACTCACGTTTCCGACCACAGCTGAAATCTCAGTCAGCATAGAAATGTCGCAGATCAGCAGATACGGACCCATAGTCGCCTTAATTGGCGCTCTCTCCTACCAATTCTTCCTCAAAGATGTGATATGGGTGCTATTCGGCGTTGGACGACACGTCCAGCCCATATCCGATTTCCCGCAATATCAATGTAGAAGAATTCATGATCCAAGACTTCAGGCATGCGAAGATATGTGGTTGTCCGAAGAGACGAGGCAGTTATTCTTGGCTTGCTCGGATTCTCTCAGTCGAAAAGAATGGATGCCGAAGTAAGTCATACGTTCGAATTCAATCGGGGAAAACGTGCTGATAATGTTCCGTTCTAGCATCGGTCGGTTCAATGCCTCAGGAAGAGCTCTCAATGATGCTATCATCGCAATGGATATTGACAAGCCGGATGGCAAAAGTTTCGAATACCGTGTACTTGCTACCCCAGGTTTCCCAGGCGTGGATGGTGATGGACGACTTCACCTCGTTGGCTTTACTGGTCGCGAGACGTCCAGCGGTATCGAATTACTCTTAGTCAACGCCCAGCCAGCCATCGATGCCACAACCAAACAACTCCAAGACACTCCAGACATGACCATCGAGGCCTTCCAGACAGACAAGAAGCAGACTTCGACCTCCCTCAAACACGTCCACACCTATCGTCACTCCGCGATAACCACACCGAATAATATTGCCTTCTCCCAACATAGCTCTGGCTTCTACTTCACCAACGATCACGGCGATGCCACCTCTGGCTTCCGGCACTCCATAGCCCCATACACCGGCAACGGCAACATCGGCTACTGCGACCTCTCAACCAGTTCCTCAAACCCAACGTGCAAGATCGTATCCTCTGGCAGCTTCCACTTCCCAAACGGTCTCGCCACATCCAAAACCTCCCCCAACACCCTTTTCGTCCCCTCTGCCTGGACCGAAGGCGGAATCCACGTTTTCAAAGCCAATGGCCCCAACCCTCTAGAAAAAGATACCTTCATTCCTATCCCGTATCCGCTCGATAACCTCAGTCAAGACAAGAACGGGAATATCTGGGCTGCAGGAATACCGAAAGCGCTGGAGACATTAGGAGCATTCGAAAATCCATTGAACTCAGTGGCCTCCACGACGGTGTTTAAGATCTGGAAGGACGCTGGCAGTGACCCTGCAGCTGTCAATGGCGGGTACCAGACACTGAAAGCACTAGAAGATCGCGACAAGGAGGTATTGCCTGGTGCCACGACGGTCATCCACGATGCCACGACAGGGAGACTATTTCTCTCTGGAGTGACGAGTCCGTTCATCACTGTCTGTGACAAGGTATTGTAGACGGAGAGAAGAAGGAAGCAAGCGGCAGAAAATTGATGTTCCAAACTAGACAGTCTATGCTGACGAGGGTGAGTTTTGTACACAGTGGCGGCTAATGTCTACATGTTTTACCAGCCAACTCATTATCATCTAGAAGTCAAATCCTTCGCCCTTCATTTCATCAAGATTCATGTCTGGTCCGACTCTAGATGCCAGATCTCGTCGGTTCATCTGCGTGAATACTCTCCGTAACGTATCATAAAGGTTCGTGCTTTGATTTTGTTGCAGGACTTGGTCCACAGCATGTTCGTCGACATCGTTGCCATGGCCGTCTTTCATGAGTTCCGCAGCTTTTTCTCTGCCTTCTTGTTCCAGCACACGATGCATCGAAAGTGCGCCGAGAAGATGACCCGCAGCTTCTTCCAAGACTCCAAGATTGATGCAAGATACTCCAAGGTTGTAGCGTGCTCGTACGAAGTTTGGCCGTAGCTCCAATGCTCGGGAATATGCCTCGATAGCCTCTTCTGAGCGGTTGCTATTTGCGAGTGTCGCACCCAGCCGGTTCCACAATAGATGCTCCTCGCCTTCTCGCTTCATTGACCCGTGTTGATGACTGTTCAACGCGGCTGTGAAGCAGTCGACAGCTTTGTCGTAATCCTCACTGCCGTAGAACAGAACACCGAGGCCAACTTGGACGTCCACATCCACATCGCCGCCTTCGGGATTGAGTTGGGCGGCTTCGAGGAAGTAATTTGTTACTTTCTCGTGCAGCTGATGGCGGTCTGTGAAGCCCATCTCCTCTTCCACATCCACCCCACGAGGTGTGACGCCAAGTTGGGGATATTTTGCAGCGACCCAACGCTCCAAGGTCCTATACGCAAGGGTGTCGTACCCTTCATTGGTGTAGGACACCGCGAGACCCATCAGAGCCTCTGGGTTGCTCGGATCAAGCTTGATAGCTTGCTCCAACGCGCGAATCGCAGGCGACTCTTTCTCGTTCTGTGCTTGTGCTTGGCCAAGTGCCACCCATGCCTCAACGAATTCGTTGTCCTTTTGTACAGCAGCTTCAAATGCCAAAGCCGCAATGCTCAAATTGCCACCTTCGCGCATGATCTTCATCCCCTCTTCAAATGCATTGGGAACGTCCTTGAACAGATTGTTCTCCTCGAACATGTATGTGCCGTTCGGAGGTCCGGCATTGAAATCGCCAAAGTCGCGGTATGCGTCGAAATTGTGGTTCATGCCATCGAAGTCTTTCCACTCGTCATACTGGTCGCCGAGGTGCTTGCTGATCTCCTCATCGGCGAGTAGATCCCTGTTGGCGTCAGCCTCAGCCCTCACTCCGTTCATGATGCTTTCAAAGTCGCCCCAACCAGTTTCTGACCTGCTCGATAGTGAGCAGGTAGAAGCTCAAAACGGGGAACGAAAGTGCCACCTACCTGTCAGCCTGGTTGAGCTCCCGCTCGATTGCTTCATTAGCTTCCCTATCCAGCTGATCAAGGTCGGCTTCCTTGTCTGCGGTAGATAGCTCCTCGAACTGCTTTTCCCAATCGGTGTCGCTCAGCTCTTGCACGCGGCCTTTGCCCTTGCCCTCATACTGCTGCTGCGGAGGCTGGTTGAACATGGGACCCTGCTGATACATCATGGGCCTCTGCATGCCGCCTCCGTACATAGAACCCATCATAGGCGGCCGATAAGCCGACTGGTAGGAGCTATTTGGACTGCCTGTCCTCGCAGTCGGGGTCATCTGGCTTTGCCGGAACTGAGCAAAGTCCTGTGGGCTGAAGGCACCACCCCTCTGCTGAGCGAACTCTTCAGGCGAGAAGGCGGGTCCCTTCTGCGCGAACTCGCCGGCCCATCCTCCACCACCACCGCCTCCGCCGCCGACCCGCTCGAGGTGCTCCGCCTCACGCCTCAACTGCTCCATGTGGAAAGCATCGTTGGGTAGCATCTCGCCCATGTGCGGGCCCTGCTGGGCGAAGTCTTGGAAGGCGGCATCTTCGGGAAGCGCCTGGCCACTGCGGAAGCCGTTGAGTTGTTGTGGTGCGCGAGAGGTGAGGCGATCTCGTTGCAGCGAAGTGTCGGCGGAGGTCTGTTTCTGGAACTGGGCCAGCGGGTTTGCGCCCGTGCTGCATTCGGGACCGCCGAGGAACGACATGTTTGGTGGCGAATATGTGTGATGAATGGTGTAGCAACGCAACAGCACAAGAGAGACGGAATCAGATCATTTGGCGAGGAGTGAGGGGTTGTCGACCAGGGCGTGGATGGTTGCTGATGAATTCGGAATGCGCTTTCATGGATCAGCTGCCGAGGCTGGAGGGGACTTGACCTTCAGAGCCGAGTCACGCCGTTCATTTGTACAGTCAGCCGGTCGGCTTTTGCTATGCTACAATTCATCCTCACCTACGCTGCCAACAGCATAGCCACCTCGTCTTCCAATGTGCAGACCGCCCCGAACCGCTCTTCTCTCGCCGTGCCAATCGCCGGAGATCAGGAATCACAGCATCGTCACTGGCACCTTCTGTGCCCAGCCCGACTGGCATTCCTCTTTTCGCCACTGTGCGACTCTGTGTCTCTCCTCGGCCTTTCGTGAAGCGCTCAAATGCTTCGAGGGCAGCCTGCTCTATTATTATACACGTGTGGTGATGCACCTCTTTCTCTACGACTGCTCTGTCTTGCTGCTCGGAAGTGAGAAGTTTACGCGCAATTCTCTGCCATAGACGACCTTTGAGCTCAGGTATGCCTTGGCCTTCTCTGCACTGGCAACGTCGATGAAATCTGCGTGGGCAAAGCCGCGAGGCTGTCCACTGCGGCGGTCGATCGCTACGCGCACGTCGAGAACGTTCTTGATCTCTCGAAACAAATCTGTTTAAACCGGTTAGAGTCGTGCATCACAGTGCGCTCGGGCGTACAACGTACCATTCAAATCACGGTCACTCATCTGGTAGGACATGTTTCCAATGAAAAGCGTCTTGCTAGGAGGGTTCTCCCTATGTTCTTGTCGAACGGTGCTCCTATCGCCCCTGTCGTTCCTGTTGTTCCTGTCGTTCCTTGGTTCCCTCGGGTTCCTGGACTCTCGACGGACGTGATGCTGCACTGCCATCCGGCGACCCTGGAAAGTCTTTTGATCGAGCTCACGAATGGCCTTATCGGCCTCCTCGCTCGTGGAGAACTCGATGTAACCAAAGCCCTTGCTCCTGCCAGTTTGGTCTGTGACAACGCGGCTGTTGACCACTTGCCCATATTGAGCAAACTCACGCTCGAGATCTTGTGCTCGAACTTCGAAGAAGAGATTGCCAACGTAGAGAATCTTTCCAGATTGGCCTGGTTTTACACTGCGATCGCCCGGAAACTGATCTCCTGTTGCTCGTCCTACGCTGGCGACGGTGCTCGTGACGGTCTCAGCAGCGCTTGAGATGGCGTCTTTTGCGGCTGCTGTCGCATTCTTGACTTCTTGCGATACCTCTTGCACTCCATCCTCTGCAGGCGCCAACTTCCTTGTGTCTTCATCTGTCTCCTTGATCTCACTCTGCTCTGCCGCGCTTACATCGGCCTTCTTTTCTTCCTCATCAGCGAGCCATCGCTGCGACTGATGGAATGATCGGATGAGAGAAGGCTTGCTCGCTTCGATGCGTGTTGACAATGGTGTGCATCGGACACTGGAAAGCTGTCGGGTTGGCTGGCATTGTAGAGCACGCGCGGCAACGCGGCGGAGGGCAAACATCGTAAATCGTTATCTGTACTATTGGGTCCGGCGACGGAAATGGCTCAAGGTCAGAATGGTTGCAGCGACAGACTCGGAGTGATGGGAATGCAGAAAAGATGGATGCTCGCCAACGTCGTGCGCACGGAGCCAAAAGTTATCGGTAGAGGCAAATCTTGCCGCGGAGGTGGGATCGCCCCTGGTACAGCGAGGGCTCATCATCGATAGTAGAATGCGCAGAATTGTTTTCACCTCTTCTCAATATCAACACTCCGGACAGTGTCGCTAGACATAAACCACGTACGAACAAACAATGCGCAAAGTGTGGTGATTGATATTGCCATGCGCTGTCGCGCTTTCTATACTACAGTTTCCCGGCCTTGCCTCGCTTTTGGTACTGCTCGTAGTAAGGACTCCTCTTTCACACCAACCCCTCTGCGTTGGATGTCATTCTTGAACGGCCCTCTAAAAGGAGAAGAGCAGTCGCCCACAATGAGATCGCGCCTACCCTGTCGAATACAACCCGACTCTGCATCAAAACGAAAACGCCCCCAACACCCTGCTTGCTCAAGATCTGCGTAACGTAGTCGTAATACAAAACAATAACATAAGAGATATACAACACAGCGATGGTACTCTGCAAATTTGTTGCGGTGTGGCAGAAGCCGCGAGACCTGTTTGCGCTCATTCATGCGGCTTCCGGTCCTGTGGCGCCTGGCGCCGGTTCTTCTGGTTCGATCGAAGGTGTAGGTTTTGGCGTGGCATCTGCCTCCGGCATACAAATTTCTTCGACGTGATTCCCAGGGTTGGGAGAGAAGATCAAAGGTGGCGTGATGTGACCTTGCTCCACATCTGCTGTCGACTCCTCCAAAATGGTCGTATCATGCGCTGGCTGAGAGGACTGCGCAGCTAACAGGTCCTCGCTGGAAACCACAGAGCCCTGGCTGTTGGTGCGCATCATTTCAGTACCCAGTTTGGACGTCCGCTTGACGTTGCGCTTTGGAGAACGCTGGCGGATCTTGACATTTCCCAGTTCTTCATCCTCGTCGTCCCCAGCGTCGCTCTCTCCAGCAGCAGATTCCTGACGAAGCTTCTCCATAGACTTTTTCTTGGCAGCTATCGCCTCGTTCGACGGCACTTTCCTGGGTGTAGCCATCTCTGTTGTCTCCAGGGCCGCGGGGGCTGAGATCTGGTGCTCCAAACTTGTGGAGAGGTTGGTGTGCCGTTTGCCCTTTTCGTCGTGGCTCAGACTATGAGAGATTCCAAGCCCACCGAAATTGCGCTCCAGCTCACTCTGCTCCATCTCGTTCGTCGGCTGGCGAGATATGATGAGCGGAATGCTGGGAATAGGATCTTCAATCTCCCCGAGAGAGCTAGAGCCAATTGAATTCTCTCGCGTGCCGCTGAAGACGCTGTTGAATCCCGTAAATCCCGAAGATGTGGTGGTGGTTGGGCTATGCTCGGTGCCCACGGTATCGTGTCGCTTCAGAGTCGACGGGATTGCTTGTGGCGCAACTGGCTTCCAACCTTCGGGAGGAGACCTCCAGTGACAAAGCCGCCCCATGACCTCTTCTAGTTTCTCTTTCGTTGGGGGCTTCTCGACCAGCGCGTCAAAAGAATGGGGTGCGTGTAGCTCCTTGAGGTAGCCTGTGACGGCAACAATGGGCGTGTGTGAATTGGCATTCTTGGTGTCACGGATCATGCGGGCGACATCCGCCCCATTGACCTGCGGAAGTTTGTATTCCATCATGATGATGTCGAACTTGACTTCGCTCATGGCATACCGCATAGCTTCAGAGCCGTTTGTCACTGCGATGGTGCGACAACGTAGTTTCTCTAACAGGCGTTCCATGACCAACCTCGAGACTGGGTGGTCCTCGCACACAAGCACATCAAGGGTCCGGAATGAGGGTCCGTCTGTCAGGCTAATCTGCGAGAGGCGACGAGAACTTTGCCTCCGGCGCTGGACACGTAACAAAGCCTTCTGTCGAGTCTCCTCATTGTCCGATGACGATGGCGATACGTCGAACACGCCACTTCTTCGTTTGTGGTGATGAGCTGGCAGGACTTCGGGTAACAGCTCGCCGTCCTGGTCTTGTGAGCCTACTGTTTGCGATCTCTGCCGCGGAGAACCGATGCCAGAGTGCCGGTGTAAGGACGTAGCACGGTCGTGCTGAGTTGGCAAGTGCACAGAATTTGTTTTGCTTGGCTTAATCGGCGACGGCACAGATGGGCTAGCCTTGAATGTAACGGGCAACCTTGGAGCTTGATCAAGCAGGTGCCCTGGTTGGAGGGATCCACTGTGCGAGAGACTAGACGACCCACTGGAGGTCTTTCGTCGTTCTTGGTTGTGGCCTGCAGAGAACGATACCAGTAGCGGGGAAGAAGGCTGAGATCCTCGACTCGGCGAGGAGTTGGCTTGGCTGAAAGTAGAGGGTGAATGTGGTCGGTGAGCAGCACCTTTGTTGGCAGACAAGGTGCGTTTGAGTGGACCAGGCACGACGGGACTGGACTCCAAGGATGGTGCAGGAGACGGAGAGGCCATAGCAGATGGTGTCGCAGAATTTGCGCCATTTGCAGTCTTCGCCTGGGCCTGCATAGCATCTGCACGCAGTTTCTGAATGACATCTTTGTTTGCCTTCTCAAGGACGGGTAGGTTCTTGAACTGGAAGTTGCCAAAATCGTCGGTTACCACAGGCTCGCTGAGCCTCCGCGATCGTGCATCCCGAACGTGCGGCGGAATGTGCAGTGGCATTAAGCCCCGCTTGACAGCATTGACTTGGCTCCTAACTCTGGACAAGGCGTCATGCGGACGGTCTGGGTAATCGGCCCCTGGAGTCTGCGAAGGAGATGTTGTTTGGTCTTCAAATTCTGCCGCAAAATTCTGCATGGTAGCTCCCCTCGAATCGAAGTATTCGGTGTCTTCCGGATTCTCACTCATGGGAATAAAGGAAGCCTCATCCTCGCGTAGGGTATCCCAGTGGATATCAGCAAACCAGGGGTGCGCCTTGATCTCGTCGCCGCCATTGGCGTACTTTTCGTCTTTGTTTGAACCTAGACGCTCTTTGGGATCAAGACACATGAGCTTGTTGACGAGGTCCTTAGCTTCTTCGGAAACGGGATCTTCTTCATCCTCAGGTGGCCAGCTAATGTTACGATTCAAGATGTTCTGGAAAACTTGTTCGGGAGTTTCCGCATTGAATGGAGGTCTGCCGTACAGGCACTCAAACAGAATGCAGCCCAAAGACCACCAATCACTCATCTCGTCCTGCCCTGCACCGTTAATGGTCTCAGGTGCGAGGTAGTCAGGAGTGCCCACGAAACGGCGGTTGCTGTCCTCCGGGTCGAACAACGCCATCATCGGCGGTGGCATTTGCGTCGACGGCTGCTGTGGTGGTGTTTCTGTTCGTGGCAGACTCGAATTGCTTGCCACCGGCTGCAGTGCATATGGGTCAGGAGAATCACCGCCTTCATCACTTCCAGTCTCTTCTTCGATTGGTGTCCGGCCGTCTGCCACGGAAAATCTGCGAAACATTGTGGCAAGAGCCTCACTGTCGCCGCTATCGCTTCGATGGCCTGAAGTTCGCCGAGAAGGCTCCCTCGAGCTCTCTCGGTAGAGACTGAAGTATGATGGTTGATTGTGGTCTACCAACGCTGGCGTCATGGCTGGGGTTTGCACAGGCGAATGATGAGTACCCTGATAATCGTACGACGTGGAGCGAGAGGACGTGACTGATGGTGCGCGGCGGAATGGTCCTGCCTTGAGGAGGTCTGGTGGTGCATCTCCGGGCTTCGCATTGATAGCACGTTTTTGTCTTCCGATAAGACCCATGCGTGATAAACCAAAATCGGTGAGCTTCAAATGTCCCTTCGCGTCGATCAACAGATTGTCGGGCTTCAAGTCTCGGTGGACAATCTGTCTGCTGTGTAGATGTTGTACACAGAGCACGACCTCGCCAATGTACTTTTTAGTCCAGTCCCCAGGCAGGGCGCCCAAAACCTTGATCAAAGATGCGCAGTCACCGCCGTTGAGGTACTCCATAACTAGGTAGAGGTAATCCTTGCTCGAGAACGTCCAGTAGAGCTTAGCCACGAAATCGCTCTCACCTTGCCACATCATGATCGCGCGTTCAGCCTTGACGTTGGTGACCTGATTCTTGGCCACCATGTCTGCCTTTTTGAGTACCTTGATTGCATAATAATCTCCAGTCGATTTCTTCTTCGAGAGGTACACGCTGCCGAATGCGCCCTTGCTGATTGGCTTGATGATCTCAAAGTCCTTGATGGAGGTTTGCACAGCACGAGGCTGAGGGTTTGATACCACAGCGCTTAACCGAGGAGATGCAGGACGACCGAATGCCTCTGATAGCGCGGCAGATGACTGCCGCCTATGGTGATGATGCTGTGCTCTGATTATCGGTGAATTAAATTCACTTTGGGTTAGGATGGGCGAAGTGATTGGGGACGGTAGGCTATCAGCACTGCTGGGAATGCGAGGCTTCGCCATGCGCAAGGGCGACGATGGTGCTGGCGGCTGTCTAGCAGGAGACTGATGGCGGCCGATGTTTTGTAGACTTGGTAGCACCAGACTCTTCCGTTTCGGATCGCGTGAACGTGAACTTGCCGCCCGACCGAGTGTAAGCTCCGCGCTCGGCGAATGAGCACGTCGATGGCTGCCGCTGGCTATTGAGGAGCGCATGCTGCTGTCGCTCTCAGCACCAGTGTCACTCTCAAGCGCTATGGAACCGCGCTTGTGTAGAAAATTGGGTTCCGTAGGACCAGCGTAGGATGATCTAGGCGTTGTTGCACCGCCGTGGGGACTGCTAGCTCTAGAAGAGCTGACGGAAGCCTGTCGCTGTCGCAGAGCTTGGTCCGAAGAATTTCGTAGAGCCATCGCCATCGCGGATGGACTGGCAGTAGACCGGTAAGAGCTCATGGTGAACATCTCATCCGCAGTAGACTGCTCAAGAGAACCGCTAAGCATTTCGTATGATGATTCCATGCCCTTTTCATGCTCGGACTCATCGAAGTTCTCCCCTTCACCACTTCCGCTAGAGTCACTGAGCTCACCAGCGGCAATGCGTGCAGCCTTCTGCAGAGCCGCTTCGATGCATTCTTGTACCAAAATATCATACTCTACCCGGATGCGTTCCGAATATTCCAAAACGCGTCGATGGCGAAAAACGGCTTCTACTTTGGCTCTGGCAAGCTGGTGGGTATCGTCACAAAGTAGGGCCAACCCTTGCTCGTTCTCAGAAAGACCAGCACTTGGCGATGGAGTCTGGATCACTTGTTGTATTCGGCTTTCTGACTGGGGAGACTGAGTGCGTAGCTCGCCTGTTGCATAGCCTCTGGTGTCCTTGATCGCTGGCGTACTGATCTCCATGGCAGTATCACAGATGTCCAGTACGAGTTCGACGATCCGCGCCAGCGGTCGTCGAACAGCAAATGAACGCGCGCGGTGGTGGCTTAGTCCACTAGCAGAAGGCTCGCGGGAGCGCCCAGGATGTGAAGGGGATGCACGGCCTGAGGACGGTCCTGAAGAAGGCGACGAGCCCAACCCAATGGGCAGTCCTTTGTATTCAGCTTTGGGCCCTCCAGGTGAAGTGATCGGCTCAGCCATTGTGGGCTGTGCTAGACGGCTTTGTGCTTCCATCGCATCTAATACCTTTACAATGGCCGAGCGCTGTTCGTTGAGCGATTCCTGCGCCATTTGAACTTCCATCTCGGCTCGATGCTCCTGAGAACATAGCTCGGTGTGCTTCTCGAACCACCATGGTGTGATTTGTCGTTCACATATGCGGCAAAGAACGGGAAGTGGTGGAGGGTGATTCGCAGGATCGTGGACTCCCACATCAGCGAGCAGCGTCAGGTAATTCGCAAGCATCTCGGCCCCTACTCCCAAAGAGTCCACGAGGATCTGTGGGAGATCTATAGTGACTTCTCGAGATACTGCAGGCTTGACCATCCACATGGTGTGACTCTCCGCACCCGAGGTCCTATCATACACCATGATGCCCTGTGCCTCGAGCTCCATGGTATCGACCTTCTGCGTCTCGGTGGCCTCCTGTTCGGCATCCGGCATCGAATCAACACCGGCCTTGGGCTCCACAGGCGTCTTTTCGTCCCCGGAGAGCGCATCTGTGACAGGTGGTGAGGGTGGAGTGTGGACGGTGAATCGGATGAAGTGGCTCTTGGAGTCGTCCTTGCGCATCGCCTCGACACAACGTGCGAAAACCTCAGGATCTTCCACCAGAATCTCTGATATCGGCTTGCCAATCAAGCTGCTGGCAGCATTTCCCGCAACCTCTTGCCATGACGGACTGACCCAGCGCACCTTGCCTTCCAGACCCAGCTCAATTATTGCGTTCAACGACTGCTCAGCAGCCTTCTTGAGGTCCTCTCGCTCTTCCCGGATGTCCATGCTAATCGTCCTCAGCATCGACCCCTTGTCGGCCGTTGTGTGTGCGGCCTCCTCTCGCAACGCCGCCACCGCCGGAGGAGCGAGCCGCTGCTCATCCTCCGCCATTGCACCTCTGCGGTTCGTACGTGGTCCCGACTGAGTTGCACACGGGCACGCAGAGATGGCGCCTATGCCCGCAGTGTCCGCTTGCCCATGGCGTCGACCAGAGACCGTGTTGTCGTGTCCCAGGCACCGCCGATCGGCAGAACAATGAACGTGTGGATGGGTGTGTAGTCGGCGAGGCGAAGCGAACAACGAATGACGACGCGACGATGGCGCCGGCGTGTCGGCAGCAACGAACAGTAGACGAAGTGGGCACGACGCTCGTTATCAAGACAGAGAAGGGCACACTCCCGCAAGGAGCACCAGGTGTGTTGCTGCTCTCACGCTCGCGCTGCCGCATACATTGGCGCAACGTTATTCGCAGCACATGCGGGGTCTATTTGTTCCAAAAGAAATGTACCGACGGAATCAACGTGGAATTCGACAACCGAAGCAGACTAGCCCACCTCCCTTCCTCGCCGTAAGGGAGAGTAATATAATGCTCTTGAGTTCAGAGTGACCAGGACCCTGGTTTTCGTGGCAGCTGCCTCGTTCCACCGCCATGTACCACGACCTTTGCCTGTGAGGCGCACCACTACTTCTTCACGAATGCTCATCCTGCGCCGTCGCCTGCACCAGAGTCGCCTGCACATCCACCCACTTGCCGGCTAATGACCCGGACCAAGCTCTGAAAGCTGTCCAGGCTCACGGCTACACCATGCAACGTTTTGCATACCATAGACGACAACAGACAGGCCAGCCGTGCTACCATGCTCATTTGGAAGCACGTCTTGCTCAACGATACTTAGCTGCCCCGATGTTGCAGGGCTCTAGCAGACCTGGCCACGACGACTTGAACGATTGGCACGGAGCTTGAAGGACGAGTCTGACTGCGTACCATTATTCAAGGTCTCACTGCACGACGCACACCCAGAGCGGCCGTCCAGGGATCCGGAGCTCGTTCCATTGATAGCTCCTCTTAGCGAGGTGTGACCGTAGCCAAGTACCACGAATGCAATACCATCGAGCAAGCGATCACGCGCTCCAGCAAGGCCTGCGAGACGGCTACCTCAAATGGAAGTATTCTAGAAGGCAAGCTGATGGAGTAATCCTTCGTAGACGCTCATCATTTGTGGGCGGCTCGTTTGTTTTTGATGGTGTGCAGAAGCTCTCAAGATCGCATTGCCCTGGTCTGATAGTCGAAGTATTACTGAGGTACGGCGAAGCACCGGGTCGCGGAGTTGCGGAAGTGGGCTCAGTTGCGTGTGCTTCACAGTCGTGGCAGTGACAGAAGCCAGGTGTTTCATGCCCCGCTGAATGTAGAAGCAGTTTCCAGACCGCTGATCATCCGTCAAGAGGATTCGTTAGCAATGGCGGAGGAATGCATTTCATGCTTGTTGGCTACTTGCAGCGAGTGTTCCGTGCTGTGCTGACTTCGTTGTCTTTCCGCGCCTTGCATCTGCTTTGCAATCACTCGGCGTGAGTGAATTGAACGTCTGTCAACGCCTGTCGTCACGAGATACTGTCTGAGGTCGCCGGCTCAAACCTTCATCCCGTCTCCCCTGCGACGCGTTGATGCATAGAGCACTACAGCCATGAGAGCTTGACTACATTGCTTTCAATGTCTGCATCCCAGAGCGTCTCGCACTCGCGACCACGCAAGCCTGGATATGTCATTGCACTGGTTGGTGCCTTCGCCCACCACAGCGCCATATGAGTGCCGGAATGACGGGAAGGCGTCGCCACGTGGGCTGCTGGTGTTCGCTGGAGCGAGCATTCTGATTCGAATCGCGCAAAGCACGATCTTTTCTTTCTTAGTGCGGCATTCACATGTATGAAAGCCGAGAGTGAATGTGTACGTGGAAAGTCAGCGCCATCAAATCACAGTGAGCCAATTTTCGATTCAACCACAGTCAGAGATTTTCACTAGTTTTTGACTCCGTAAACCCCTCGCACCCCATCTGCCAACTACCAGCATCTTGTTAACGCAAGAACGAACAAAGCTGCAGGTCATGGCGTCAACGAACACGAGCACCTCGTGCAAAGTGGTGCTAGCGAGCGCGATCGCCAAACGTCTACTCGAAGAAGTTGCAAGCGGCATCAAGGCGCTCAAGCAGCCTCCTCGCCTGCATGGCTTCCTCGCCAATGACGATCCGGCTGCGGAGATGTACGCGAACTGGACCAAAAAGACATGCGAAGAAAAGTAAGGCTCTGTGTGATTCATGTAACTCGATCAGACGACACTGATACAAAGTAAGTGGTGTTGATTTCACGCTGCGCAAAGTTGATCGAGAAGCACTCGAGGATGAACTACGCTACGCCAACCAGGATCAGAAGGTGGACGGTATGATCGTCTACTACCCTGTCTTCGACACGATGCGAGATCGCACTTTGCAATGGACTGTCAGCCTGTACAAGGACGTCGAAGGACTTTCGCCGCAACTCATTAGCAACATGTATCAGAACATTCGATTTCTGGATCCACCAGAGAACACTCGCAAGTCGATACTGCCATGTACGCCGCTCGCGATCGTCAAGATTCTCGAGTACCTGCAAATCTACAACAATATCCTCGACTACGGCAAGCGCCTTCACGGAAGACGAATCACAGTCATCAACCGCAGCGAGGTTGTTGGACGACCACTTGCAGCACTGCTTGCGAACGACGGAGCTGAAGTCTACAGCGTGGACGTTACTGGCGTTCAACAGTTCAGCAGAGGCTCCGGATTGAAGAAGCAGAAGCACGAGAGTCGCGACATGCCAGGCTGGGCTCTCGAGCAATGCTTACCCATCAGCGACGTGGTTATCAGCGGTGTGCCGGGAGAAAAGTTCAAGGTACCCACGCATCTTGTGCGCGACGGTGCTGTTTGCATTAACTTCTCGAGCGAAAAGGTATGTCACCTGTTCTTGCTATCCTGGCCTGGCTAATATATCATTCTCGTAGAATTTTGACCCGGACATCAAAGAGAAAGCTTCGATCTACGTTCCTGCCATCGGAAAAGTCACGATCGTCGTGCTGATGCGTAATCTGCTGCGACTGGTACAGAATCAGCCACAGGCGAATGGTGACCATTGAACTCCCGCTGCATGATGTGTCCTGTTCTGGGCTCCATGCCCCGGAATCTCACACTCCAAAATCCGAGCGCAGATGGCGGCTGGTTTAGGGGCTTCTTCGACACTCGGGAGCGGCATCGCGTGATACGTAGTTGCTCTGAGGGAGAGCATACGACGAAAACACAGCAGTCGCGGAATGACAGTCACCAGCGTCAGATAAAGGAAGACTGTATTGGTGAAGCCATCGAGTGTAGTGGGTCAAATAGAGCCCGGGTCTCGTGCAAATAACATTGGCCTCGTCCGCCTTTCGTGTCCGCACCTTTCTGATCAACGCAAGTTGAGTATTTTGCCCATGAAGTCCCAAAGCTGCAAGCCACAGGTGTGAAAATATGTCCTTCAACGCCGCGCTAAATCACCAGGGTATGCTCGTCGTGTCGCTTACGAGAAATCGCGCAACTTGGAGATCTCGTCGAGAACCGCCTGGAGCTCATCGTCGCTGATCTTGCCCTCCAATGAAGGAATGAGCGTGCGAGCTTCTTCGGCAGCATCGCAACATAGCGTTGCTGCAACAAGGAGCATTGTTAGCGATATATCCGTTTTTGAAAGGGCCGATCGCAAAGCGAGCCTGTCCACGCTCTACACCCGAGAATTCGGATGATGCAGACCGGTTACGCTTCTACTCACCTAGTTGCGCCCTCTCGAATTCCACTATCCCATAGCCTCGCTGCGTCAACTGTGTACTGATTTGATTGACCTGCGTGATCGCATTTGCATCCTTGAATCTGCTGAAAGCCCTGCAGTATTCCTTGGTCTTGTAGTAAATCTCGGTCTGGTTGCGGCGTTCACCGTGTTCCTCGATTCGCTCAAGCATGAGTGTGACTTCCGCAGGAGAAAGGGCTTGCTCGTTGGTCATGTTCCCGAGTTTGAGCACCGCGGTCGCTTCCTCGTCGCCGGTTGGAGGTGGTCGGCGGCGCGACGTCTGCGCGGTCGCAGCGGGGGCGCTGGGTCCTGCCATACTGCGTGGGACGTCGAGTACTGAGCAAAGGCGGATGTGCGTGGTCGTGAGGGAGCGTGGGGACGTGGTGTCTGGAGGTTAGTGGATCAGCAAGCGGGAGACAATGACTTCAGACACGTAGGCACGTGACAGCCGCAGTGACGCCTCGTAGCTGCGAGGGCGAGGGCGAGGGATGTCGAGGGCTGCTGCATTGTGTGAATGGAAAAGCGAGATATTCACCTTACGCATCGCACGGTCGGCAAACACGAAGCCAGTGTTCGCACATGCAGCGTTCGTGTGAACGTGAGGAGCGATGTGGGCTTGCAGAGAGGCGCGATGGCAGTGTGTAGTCAGTCAGTCTCCAGTCGGCATAGTTTAGAGCGGTTTCACCATCTCCATCTCCATCGACCATCACCGTCACTAGCACAGCACCGCCCTCCGTCCACGCCACCCTCCACACACCCGTGCTCAACGACAGCTCCGCTCGATCAATACCGCTGCGCGCACGGTGCTGGCCGCCGCACGAGCCTTCTGGTCGCGCCGTCTTGCCAGTGCACCACCGAATCCGCAATCGCTGCTACGAGACCGCCCCCCGTAACTTGCAGCGCCGCTTGAATCACCCGCGCAGCCTGCCATCTACAGCGCTGGCCACCCCTCTTGCGTCCCCGTGGCAGTGTGCGCACTGTTGGCAGGACTGCGCAACGACCGCTTGTGCCAGCGCCGCCTCGCGCAGGCATGGCGGTGCCCACAGACAACGACCGGCCGCCGGGCAAGCAGCAAAGCTCCCATGATGACGAGAACAGTGGCAGGCAGAACGCGTCCCCACCAGGAAATGGCCAGACCGAGCTCGCACTCCGACCGCACGAACAGAATGCGGTGGGTGGACTTGCGCCCGCACCGCAAGACAGGTCACGAACTTCTCTAGACAGACCGCACGAGCATAGTAGCAAAGAGCGTTCCAAGTCAAATGGACGAAGGCCAAGCGGACAGCAGCGAACATGTGGGAAATGCCAGAGGCATTTGACCGGACAATTTGTACGAGCGTTGGGCGACACATATCATCTGGAATGCTTCACATGCCACGTAGGTCTCGCGAAACGCCCAGAGCTGCTTGTCGAAGACATGCTGGATAGCTGACATGATCACTAGGACTGCGGGAAGATTGTCGCGTCGAAATTCTTTCCCGTGCCAGATCAACCGCCGAATCAGTATCCCCTCTGTGAGACCGACTATTTTCGAAGACTGGATCTGCTGTGCTATGCCTGCGGAGGGGCTTTGCGAGGATCATACATCACTGCGCTGGAACGCAAGTACCACATCGAGCACTTCACGTGTTCAGTTTGCCCCACGGTCTTTGGTGCACAGGACTCATATTATGAACACGAGGGCAACGTGTATTGCCATTACCACTACTCGACCAAATTCGCGCAAAAGTGTAACGGATGCCAGACCGCTATCCTTAAGCAGTTTGTGGAGATCTTCCGAAATGGAGTGAATCAACACTGGCATCCCGAGTGCTACATGATACATAAATACTGGAACGTGCGCCTGCATGCACCCCCACCTAAGGGCTCTGAAGAGGAACAGACTCTGGAGCATCACAGGCAGATCAAATCTAGCAGCGAAGGTGATGCAAGCGAAGATCAACGGCGAACCGTCAGAACAGAAGAAGAGGCGGTGGAGTACAAAGTCCACTGGATTTGGCATACTTTGTCGACTTTTGAAGAGCGCTCCGCCACTCGAATTTCCGACATGTTGCTGCACGTCAGTAATGGTGCATATATGGATGGAGTCGTCGCTGCCAAAAAGTTCATAACCCACGTTGACCTACTCTTCGGAGCAGCCGATGACCTGGACCACAGACTCCAAGTACGGCCGACTACGGGCGCAGACAAAACAGTGCGCACATTTGATGCTATCGTGCATCCGGGATTGAGTTACAGCAGAGAAGCCAAGTTGCTGTGCAAGAAAGTAGTGGCTTTCTTCCAGCTTCTCGCTGAAAATCAGGACAATGGCGTTCGACGGCTGGGTGTTACGCAAGAGCTGCTCTCCCTCGTGACTGGTCTGGCACACTACTTAAAGCTCATGATACGGATATGTCTTTCAGGCGCTCTCAAGCTGGAACGAGAGACGTCCAGCGCAGAAGGACTGGAGGGTTTCTTGAAAGATATCAGCAAACTTGATGAGAGGCTCGATGCGGAAAGCCAACGAGATTCAAGGGCTGATGCTGAGGCCTACGTCGACAAAAGCGCAGACACATGCGCAGTCTGTGATAAGGCTGTCGAGGACAAGTGCTTCCGCCGAGACAATCGCGTGATCCACACGCAATGTCTGAGTTGTGCCAAATGTAACAAAGATTTTGGCGACGATACAGCAAATGCACGATGGAGCGAGCAAGGGCAGAAGGCGTGGTGTGAGATTCACGCGCCCTCTGATGCGACGACAGGTGGTTTCGTGGCCGTATCACGCTTGCAGCAATATGTCCATCTGCTTCGAGTCGCGCACGCACGGCTCCTCGCCACGTTAAGGACAAGCGGAGCGTTGCCACACACCAGCGACGACCCCAATTTGCTCGGATACGACTCTCGAGAGGGACATAGCCTCGATGGCCAGGAACAGCCTCCGCTACTACGTTCGAATACAAGATCGAGATCGTATGCTGGCAGGTCGCCCGGCCAAAGAAATCAGGGCGAGCCCAGCTATGAGGATACGATGGGAGACATACGGCGCTTACGAAGCACCAGAATGGACAAACACCTTTCGAATGCCACCAAGAAGGCTCGCACATCTCGAATCATCGATGGTCCCGAAGGCATGCGGCCAGGTTCGGCAGATGGAGGCGATAATCGTCGCAAGAGCACATTTCAAATTATCGAGGATCGAGCTGCGCAAGGGGACTCTGTCACTCAACTCACGTTTGGCAAACAGGATGCAATGACTCTCGATGACATTCCGAGAATTGTGCAAGCGCAACAAACGAGGGAACAACGACCAAATGCGTCCCGATACGCAAGACAGCCAATGATTCCACAGGACCCCGTGCCCAAGCTAGTCAACGGCCATACCCGCGACTTTTCAGGAGATGGTCAAGAGAAGCTGGAGACAAGGCCGCCTGGCACAAAGAAGTACTTCTCAGAACTGACAGCACTTGAGTACTTCATCGTCCGTCATGTCGCAGTTCTGTCCATGGAGCCCTTGGTCGAAGGGCACTTCAACCAGGAAGAGCTGTTGGACCTCATCGAGACCAGGAAGCAGAACTTCTGGAGCAAATTCGGCAAGGCATTCCAGGGTAAAGAGAAGAGACCTCGGGCTGCCAAGAATGCCATCTTCGGGATTCCTCTGGAGCAGGTCCTTGAACGTGACTACGAGGAAAGTACTGATGGTGTTGGCCCTGGCTCTTTGAAGATTCCATCAATCGTCCAAGAGTGTATTAGCGCCATGAAGACCATGGACATGTCCGTGGAGGGCGTCTTCCGTAAGAACGGCAACATCAAGCGACTTAACGACGCCAAGGAAGAGATTGACGCGAAAGGCGCCGTGCAGGTTGATCTGACAAAGGAGAACCCGGTGCAAGTTGCAGCGCTGCTCAAAAAGTACTTGCGTGAACTGCCCGACCCGCTGATGACAAACAAGCTCCATAAGCTATGGACGACGTCCTCGCGCATCGAAGACAACGAGAAACGGCGACGACTATTGCACCTAACGTGCTGTCTCCTGCCTAAATCGCACAGAGACACGATGGAGGTCTTGTTCACCTTTATGAATTGGGTGTCAAGCTTCAGTCACGTGGACGAGGAGAGTGGCAGCAAGATGGATATCCACAACCTCGCAACGGTCATAACACCCAACATCATGCACAGCGGCAAGGATGTCGTACCTGTAGAGGACAGTTTCTTGTCGATCGAAGCTGTGCACAGCTTGATAGAGTGCAACGAAAGCATGTGTGAGGTATGTACAATTGCGAACCGTGGACTTTGTTGTCCCTAATGCTAACGTCCAAACAGGTGCCAGAAGATCTTGCTATGATCTTGAACGACTCTTCGCTGTTCAGCAACAACGCAGAAATCACGACGAAAGAGATTCTGAAGCGCTATGGCGACCGTGCAAAGGCGCCCACAGTCAATAGCGGGCATGTTGTCGCAGCACAAAACGGCACTACCTCGCCGCCATCATCTGCGCCAGTTGTCACGCGTGTCGACACTGATCCATATCAGCAGAGCGCATGGCAGAATGAGAGCTCAGTCAGGCATGTCGGCAGCGATCGAGACCCGATGACACCACCAACACTTCCATATGCGAACCCCAACGCATCCACCGAGTCGCACGGCAGTCCAAACCGCGCGAGTCGTGCAGGCCCGCAACAACAACGACCTGTTGGCATGGCATAGGCGAGGTCTCGTCGCAGCAGAGCACAGCCCGAAACCTAGCCAGAATCAATACAGACTTTGGAAATCACAATAAGTGAATCGGACACACCTGTTTGAGACCTTCAGAACAAGACAGGACAGACTCTTACGAATCGTTTGCCGTCGACGCAGCGGCGCGGCGATTATTTGGCATTCAGTCGGCCCGACATGGGTCACGCGTGCACAGAGAAACACAAAAATCAAGAGAGCAATGAGGAAGAAGCGTGCCTGCGTCACCCTCTCTGCGCGTGGCTTTGGATTTGTTTCGAGAGGGGGAGAAGAGAATCGGAGTCTGGTGTACATGTTGCCCGTGAGTGGGACAGAAAGCGTGACTCTTTGTTTTTGTTTTGTTTTGTTTTTGACTACCCCATATGAGTGATGTAGCGGGTCTGTCTGCTCAATCGGCGACAGAGAAGAAGATGAAAAAGGCCAGTAGTGCTAGAATATAGCGCATGTGAAGTAAGGAAAGCGCGCGAGTTTTCAATGTGGCTTTGCTTTTCTACCAGTTAACTGGTTTGTTGTGGTCGCTCGTACTGTTGTCTCACATGGTATGGCTCCTGGCCGCGTTGCACACTCCGAAACACATTTCTCATGCTGCGTGGGATCGATTACACGGCTATGGGACCATCTACGGTCAACTATTGGCAAATCAAATAACACTGAAAGGGAGGAAATGGTGAAGGGGTGCTATGACGTGAGCTTGCGACCCCCTGTGCTCGTGGAATGGAACGCGAGTGTGTAGCGTGAACATCTTTAATGCTGTGGAACGGAAACATTAATTGGCTCGATTAATTGAATTTTTGGACAAGTATCGTGTGAGAGTTCGTATAAGCCTCTTTGAACCCAGAATGCAGAACGCCGACCATGACACATTACTGAGAGTGGCTTTGAAGCCATTCTTCGCTTTGGGTAAATTAGACCATGATGGCTGCAACGGCACCGAAGACAAGTGCGACTGCGCTACCGCCAGTAAGCAGAGATGAAGCGCCACCAGTGGACTGTGCGCCGGTGGAGCCAGTCTGAGAGCCCTGGAAGCCGGCATCGTTGGTGTTGCCTGGTGTGGTGGCGGTGCGGGTGAGAGTGGCAGAGCTCAAGGTGGTATTGCGTGGGATAGTGACGTTGCCGGTAGCGTATGGTGGCACAGCGGTGATGGTGTGCGAGGTGGTGCTGTTGGCAGGAGCAGAGATGGTCGAGTAGCCAGCTGGAGTCTCAGCAGAAGAGGAAGACGAGCTGCCAGTGCCACTGCCGCCAGAGATGGAGAATGGGCCCAAGTAGTTGGTGTTGCTTCCCTGAGTGATTTGGAGGGCGTCTGTGAAGAGTTGTCAGTATAGGATACGAGGATGTCTGAGACATGGTTTTGGCGCTCTAGAGGTGCCTCTTCAAAGATCACACTTACAGTCGTCGTCATCCTCAAGTGAGCTATCCACGTTCCATGTGAACTTGCCGCCAGTACCAGTGCTGGTCAGAGTGCTGACGGTCTTGAGGTCGTTTGCATCCTGCGGTACGTTAGAGATCGCATATTCAATATTCAGGTCTGGATATTACTCACGCCCTCGCGCAGGAGAATGGTCACTGGAGTGGTAGAATCGTCGGTTTGCCAGGTGAGCTCGACAGATTGACCGGCCACAGCTTGCGGCAGAGGCTACAGGGAAGAAAGTCAGCATGTTTTCTCGTAGTCTCAGACTTTGTCTCGCATCGGCCGCCTCGGATCCCGAGATTCGAGCTTGAACCCAGAGTGCAGAGGAAGCGACAACCGAGACAGCGTGTGCGGGAGCCGACATACGTTGGTGAAGCTGATGGCAGCGGACTGCGCAGCGGCGAGGGCGGCGAAGGCGCCAACAAGAATCGACTTGACAAACATGGTGGATGGTTGGTACGGATCTGGCGATCGAGAAATGTGTTGGTGATCTAGCGCTCGAGGGCCGATGTTTTGAGGAACGAGTGGATGTCTGGCGACGAAACGAAGGGGGTGGTGCACAAGGCTGTCACGGCGGCGTGGAATGTTGAAGACAAAACCGACGGGGACGCTGGAAGGAGAAGAAGAGGTTGCGAATCGCCAAGATCCCTGGGTCGTCGCTTCCAGTCCCCGGAAATGAGGCCCACTGGCAGCATGGATGATGGCCGCCGGGGGTTGCTGCACTCCACCCAGCCCGTACGACTCGAACGGCCTGCCACGGCTGCGGTGCCACCAGCGGCCGCAGCCATACCACCGCCATTGCACGCTGCGCCGCTGCCAGCCGTCGCCGCAATGGCGCTCAACGACGACGCTCCTGCCGCCGACTGCCTGGATGGACGAGCACGCGACACAGGGAGACGCGCAAGCTTTGGCTGACATGGCTCATGTGGCATTGCGCTATTCCTATGTTGGGCATGAGAAAACACTAACGGGCGCCTCCTCCGGCCCAGTCCGCCACCACGAAGCTAATTCCAGCTCACTACCAACAGTGGACGCGTTTCAGCCTGCCTCAGGACGCTCCCCTTCCACTGTCGCCGGCAGTGGGGATCGAGGCCTTCATATAGCAGGCCCTCTAGCTACACACCATGTCTTCTCGAGCGCAGCCGGCTTTGACCGCGCAGAACGAACAACTAGCGGCGCGCCATTGAGCTGACGAGCGTTGGAACTTGGATCACAAATTCACACCAGCCTGTTACCAGGCCTTCTCGGAACGCGCGGTGCAGAATCGTGCTCGCTGCGCCGACAACCTTCTTCGCACCATCCCGGCGGTGGCGAATCTTCGCTTGTTCCTTCTGATGTTTTTCGAACAATCGAGACAGAAACTGGCAGTGGATTCCTTCTTGGCATTGCCTTCCATTCTGGGCAACGGACGCGGCAGAGCGCTCATGGGATCTCTGATTGGGAAAGGCGACTCATCTCCGGCCAATCGACCCTGCGCAACCTTCGACCCACGATCCTAGTCGCGATTCAATCTTTCCTGGGCGGCACGTTGTTCAACGATATAGTGTTGTATCGACGCAATGTTCAAACTTCAGCACACCACATTTTGCGACCCCAGATTTGTGGAATGCGCGCCTCACAACATTGGTGCGCAAGAACTCTCGCTGCACCTACGTGAAATAAGGTTGATCTAGCTCAAGCGCCTGCTTCGCTACTCTCACCAACCACAACTGCAGCAGACTAACTCCTACTGTTCATTATGGGCTGTCGCCATCTCCCAGTGTACACTAGGCAAATTCGCAGGGGGTTTAACTGCTGAAGAGCCGCCCTCTTGCTCGAGCACTTCGTATCCTCCGTCGCGTGGCTCTGTCGAACACTTCTACTCCAACCTTCTTACCACTCGTTTAGGGAACAGTTCTATCCTCGACTACTTTTCGTATCCTTATTTCATATACCCACCATGCAGATCTCACGCTCTTTGTTGCTTGCGCTCGCTAGCGCCTTCGCTGCCTACGCGCAAGTTCAGTCCACTGGACCGAATGCCTTCACGAACACGGCATACAACGCCGTAGCTGGCCAGACCCTGACACTCACATGGTAAATGACGGGGAAGGCATCATGCATCCGCGGCGCCAGCTGACTGGGTGTAGGACTCCAAGTACCGAGGGCACCGTCTCGCTCATCCTCCGCACAGGCGCCAACAATGACTTGGACACTGTTGAAACCATTGCGTCGAACATCCCCAACAGCGGTACTTACGACTGGACCATCCCCGAAAGTGCTGTTCGTGGTAGCAACTACGTAAGTAGCATCGCTAGATTGGATCACTATGCAGAGGCATGTTTGGGATACATGCTTACCTTGCACCTGTCTTCTAGGCCATCGAAATTCAGAGCGACTCGGACACATCTGTGACCAACTACACTCCCCAATTCGTGCTCGAGAGCGACAACGTCGGTCCTATCCCTACCGAAGGTAGCTCTACTTCGGCCCCAATCTCATCCTCCGTGTCCACTGCCGCGAGCTCCTCCGCCAGCGAGACCGCGAGCGAGACCACGACCGGAACTGAGACCTCTGAGACCTCTGAGACCTCCTCGGCGACTACCGGTATGTGCGATGTCCTAATTATACCAGAAGTGAAACTAACATTCTGTGTGCGCAGGATCTACTAACAGCAGGACTACCGGCACTGCTGCCCCTACCTCGAGCAACGGTGATCTCCAGGCCACCCAATCGACAACATCCGACTCCGGTGCTGGAGCTCGTGCAACTGCCATGGTCGGCATGCTCGGTGCTGTCGCACTCGGTGCATTGGCTTTGTAAGATGGGAGCCTAAGCAGATTGAGAGGTGAAGCGGTGATGCGCAGAAGAAGCCCACATGTAATGCGTGAAGAGCGGATGTAATTCGAGATACCTTGTACAGTTTGCGCGAGAATCTTCAGGCCTTTGCAAGGTCGATTGATCAGGGCGCTTTTTAAATCGACAGAACTGCTACTTTGAGCAGGAAATCTTTGGGCTTTGCTTTGAGAATGTCGATGAACAGAGTCAGACTCTTCTTACGAGTTGAGGTGAGGTCTGTAGTCGTGTTCTGACATTCGTGTTCCGGGATGTTTTGCGTCACTGTGACCCACTCTGCACATGCATGTGCTGCATATGTGGTGAGACGTGTTACGCATTGGTGTCTCCCATGTCCATGCGTCTTGATGCACGAGGAGAACAACTTCTACCTCTACGTATACGGACATGCGGTAGCAAAATGGCAACGCATGTGACGCGTGCTTTTTGCACTCATATGTCTGATCGTTGTGCTAGATCTGTCTTAGTTACCTGTCTGCGATCCTCCGTCAGAAGCGGCCTGGTCATGCTTGAAAGTTATCGAGGACAGTCGTCGAGGGCGGTGAACTTCGCTCGCTTGCTTAGGCGTCTGCTGAAATAATCGCAAGTGGCTGGTGCATTCACGGTCGCTATACATCGTAGCAATCGTGACTAGCTTGCGCAGATCTTCACGGCAGCTCCAGCGCCGATGTGGGTAGACTGCACTGGAAGCCATTTGATGCAGTATTGCAATGGTCTGATAAAGGTTGCTGCCGAACGATCTTCCTGCTTATTAACCTCCAAGGTGACCAACGAGCACAATTGATTCTGAGGTGAGAGACGAGTCTGATTCTGGCTATTGTGCGAGGGCACACCCGTACGGTTTCTCGCATGCGTGGATGGTGGAGCTGGCGGTCCGAAGAGTCGCGGAAGGTGATGCTGCCAAGCGCGAGCCGTTCTCAGTGACATCTTTGCCGACCAATCCTCGCGCCGAACTACTGAAGTATAGAACTCATTCTTTGCGACGTGAGAAGCAGCTGTAGCAGCAGTGAGGTGCAGCGATCCGTCACCGTCGCAGGGCATTGACGTCGTCGCTGTCCTCTCCGCTCCGCCTCGGCCAGGATCCGCCCCCGACCAGGGCAGCGCCTTGTTTCACGAAGCACCTCCAGGCGTCAGCTCCCTACACCCACTGCCGCTTGTTGACCACCGTCTTATCCGCGAGCGAGCGCCGTGCGTGCAAGATGCCCTTTGTCGACGTTGTCCGCGCGCTCTACGACTACGCTGCGCAGAGTGCCGAAGAGCTCGAAATCAAGGATGGCGATCTACTCTTGGTGCTCGACAAGAGCGAGGATGATGACTGGTGGAAGTGCAAGAAGAAGGCCTCATCCGACGAAGACGACGAACCGGAAGGCCTGGTGCCGAACAACTACGTTGAGGAGGTGCGGCCTATCGCTCAGGCCAAAGCACTCTACGACTATGCACAACAGACGGACGAGGAGCTAAGCTTCAAGGAGGATACGCGCCTCAATATATACGATGAGACAGACCCGGACTGGACGCTGGTGGGCCACAATGGCAATTACGGCTTTGCTCCCGCCATCTATATTGAACGTCTGGATGCTGCCTCGACTTCAGCTCCTGCTCCAGCTCCACCGTCCCCAGCAGCTGCGCCGCAACCACGAGCCCTGGCGCCACCTCCGATGCCAACGCGTCCTGTTGCTGACGATGGACCCATTCCCGGTGAGGCCGATTACGTCCCACCGTCCTCGGAGCCCTCGGCCAGCAATCCAGCTGCAGCGCTCGCGGGAATTATAGCACAAAGGACAGGAGGCAACCCGACTTCTCCGCCCGCAGATCGTTCACTCGCCTCTCCGCCGCTGCCTCAGCGATCGCAACTGACTCCCGATGAAAGCGACGAAGAAGCTGCGCCCTCACTGCCCCGTCGACCACCCTCACAGACTATTGCACCAGCGTCTCCTTCGTCCCCTGTTCCGCTCCAGACACAATATGCAACGCGTCTCTCGCCCGAGCCTTCCGGGGCACAGCCATCACCGTCATACAACAGAGCCGGTTCTGCATCACATGATGATTATGGGGACGAAGCGTTGTCGCCACGAGGTTTCCACTTGTACAATATTCATGAAATGGTGTCACACATGGGCAAAAATAAGAAGATGCCTACCACACTCGGCATCAACCCTGCCAAGGGCATCATCATGATAAGTCCCGAAAAGAGCAGAGATGGACCAAGCAAGGAGTGGACAGCAGAAAAGCTTACGCATTACAGCATCGAGGGCAAACATGTGTTTGTAGAACTCGTGAGGCCGAGCAGGAGCATTGATTTTCACGCGGGAGCCAAGGATACTGCACAGGAGATAGTTGCTGCGCTCGGGGAAATGGCTGGCGCGGTACGACAAGAGGGTCTGCGGGAAGTTCTAGCAGCCAGTGCTGGGACAGGACTATCGGGCCTCAAAAAAGGACAAATGCTCTATGAATTCATGGCCCAGGGAGACGATGAGGTGACCGTAGCCGCTGGAGATGAGGTCGTGATTCTGGACGATGTCAAAAGTGAGGAGTGGTGGATGGTCCGACGAATGAAGAACGGCAAGCAAGGTGTCGTGCCGTCCTCGTACGTGGAAGTGACAGGAATCATCTCGCAAGGACCAGAGGCAATCACCGGTCTAGACGCAGCACGAAGTACTGTGGAACAGAATCGATTGGAAGAGGAACGACTCACAAAGGAAGCAGCACGGAAGAGCAAGAAACGCGAGAGTGAGGTCATTCCGCCCGAGAGGAATAGCAGTCTAGCAGGCGACACACGACGTACATCAATGCGTGGAGCCGACAAACGAGGTTCAAAAGATCAGCCGAAGGCGAAGCCAAACCAGAGTCGAGTCCGGACATGGACAGATCGCAGCGGCACGTTCAAAGTTGAGGCAGAGTTCATTGGCTTGCGCGAAGGGAAGATCCACCTGCACAAGCTGAATGGCGTTAAAATTGCTGTTCCGGTTGCGAAGATGGCTGTCGAGGACCTGGAGTATGTTGAGCGTGCCACAGGGGCAAGCCTGGACGAGGATAAACCGCTTTCTGACATCAAACGCCGGAGCACGCAGAGGCAAGCTAATGGCTCTCGATCTGCGGCAGGGGCCAGTGTGCAGAAGAAATCAGACTATGATTGGTTTGACTTCTTTCTGCAATGCGGCGTCGACCCGCACATCTGTGAGCGTTACGCGGGCTCCTTCTCCCGGGACAACATGGGCCCAGAGATTCTTCCTGAGGTCAATCAACAATTACTGCGGACGTTAGGACTCAAAGAAGGCGACATCCTTAGGGTGATGAAGTTCTTGGACAACAAATACTACAGACATGCTGATGGAGGACCCTCTGCAACGCAAGAGGATGGTGCTGCCGGAGGATTGTTTGCCGGTCCCGGTGGAGTCCTCAAGAACAACACGCGCAAGGGAAGACCTGCGCCAGCAGTCCAGACCAATGATGTGGTCGACGAAAGCGCGTTCAAGGCAAAGGTCGACAGTCCAGGTGTGAAGACTCCGTTGGCAGATGCAAAATCGACATCTGCTACTGGTGGCCAATCCACAAATGGCTTTGATGATGACGCGTGGGATGTGAAGCCTCCGCGGGCACAGACACCAACTAAAGCTGCTCCTGCTGCCAAACCTGCTGCGTCTACGCCAGAGCCACCCAAGCCTCTAATAAACGACGACATTGCTTCCTTATCTATATCTGCGCCACCATTGCAGCCAACACCGGCCTCTCAGCCCTCGCCTACACCGCCAGCTCAACAGCCTACCCAGACAGCACCGTCTGCAGCGCCAGTCGCGAATCAAGCCATTTTCGACAAAATTGCTGCTTTGGCACCCGCGAACCGCCAATTGCAGTCACAGCCGACAGGGTATCAACAGCCACTGCAGACAGGATATCAGCCGCAGCAGCAATTGCAACCGCAGCAGACAGCATTACCACGACAACGTCCTGCAGCTCCTCAGCAGCAAACCGGCCCGGGCACGATTGGATTGCCGCCACCTCCTCGCGCGGCCTCAGCGCCTGGATTCCCGCCTCAAATTCAATCCTCGTTCGGTCCACCGCCGCTACAGGCGCAGCTGACTGGTTATCAGCCTCAACAAATGATGCCACAAATGTCCCCGCCTGGTCCAGGCATGCAACAACAATTTCAGCAGATGCAGCCGCAGCACACCTCTTTCCAACCGCAAGCGTACAATCCGAACTACCAGCAGCAGGGCGGTATTCAGTCCCTACAGCAGAACTATCCAGCAATGCAACCACAGCCTACAGGATTTCAACCACAAAACCAATATGGCCAGCAACAAGCTCAGCAGTACGGGATGGGTCAACCCAACTACCAGCAACAACTTGTCAACGGAACTCAGACTGGGTCACCTTTTGCCGATCCACCACGACAGCCCTTTCAACCCGTTCCATCAGGTCTATCTAACTCTTTTACCGCACAGCAGACTGGATTCCAGCCTGCATTCAATCTGTCCCAGCCCACTGGTATGAACGGCTTTGGTGCTCAGCCAACGCAGCCTGCGCCGCAATTGCCTCCTCAACAAACAGGGGGCGTCTTTGGACCATCGCAGCCACTTTCAGTGCCGGCAGCTCCCCTTGTACCCCAGAAGACTGGCCCGCCACCTCCAGTACGCTTCGGTGTGCAGCCTGGTACGAAACCTTTAATGCCGCAGCCCACCGGCAGAGCCAATCTGGCGAAAGCGAGTAAGTTTGTCCCGATACAATGAGCTCACCACGAGCATATGCTGACCGTTGTACAGCTCCGCAAAATCCATTCGGGTTCTGAGCATCCATCTGAAGTGTAAATTTTTGTAAGATGTGAAAGAGCATCAGGATGCCTCCCTGTATATAGTGTAATAGGTTCGCTACAATAAATGCAAATCACGACGGCTGTCAGAGCCATCTATCATGATATGTATTCACGACTCGGCAGCAGCTGCTGTGCTGTAGCGGTTTTTGCGGCTCGGCCCGTGCACTAAGCGAGCTCAAAATGACGAACGACTGGTGATGAATTTCATGTCAGTGAACCTGCGTGTTCGGTGAGCTTGTGTTCACAACGCCTCTCTGCAATGCTGCAATGTCGGACATACAACTCTACCTCCTCGAGGTGGACAAGAACAAGGCCGAGGCTCAGGCAATAGCAGCCGGAAGCGCCGAGAAACTTGAGCAGAAACAACTCAAACTCATCAATCTCATCACCAGTCTTGAGGAGTATATCAACAACAAGGACGATGGCGCTCTCCGTGCCAAGTCAGTCGCATATATTGCGGATGTCCTCGAGAAAGTACCCCCTAAGGTCTTCTCACTTCAAGAACGTCGCTTGCTCACTGATTTTGTTCTCGGAAGGATCGCAAGTGATCTCGAGGGCATTGGCGCTTCTGCAAGGGTGCTCCTGGCGCTCGAATCGCTGGGCAAATGGGACGTAGATACTGCGCAGAAGGTGATGCGTACGTTCATGGATCATACACATCCGTTGCGACAGTTCAAACTACAGACCGAACGATATCCCATAATTCGACTTATCGACCGCTTGCTAGCCAATTATCGATCCGGCATGAAACAACTACATGAAGACGACCCCGAGTTTATGCCAGGATTCATCTCCTACTTTGAAGGCGAGAAGGATCCCAGAAACCTCATGATCGTCTTCTCGCTTCTGCAAGTACCGATGGCGGAGTGGGACATTCACGCCTACGCACATGACATGTTCGATGCAGTCTTCAATTACTTTCCGATCACGTTCAAGCCACCGCCCGATGACCCTTATGGCATTACAGCTCAGGACCTCAAGGATCGGCTTCGCGATTGTATCGCTGCCAACTCGGACTTTTCGCCATATGCTTTCCCTGCGCTACTGGACAAGTTGGATTCGACATCAATGAACACAAAACGTGATGTACTTCATACATTACAGGCTTGTTCTGTGACCTACTCGGCAAACACTGTCAACCTCTATTCGGTAACTCTTTGGGACGCCCTCAAGTTTGAGATCATCAATGTGCAAGAAGAGGATCTGGCCGAGGAGGCTCTGAAGGTTTTGGCACTCATCGCAGCCAAGCTCGCGCCAATCGACAATGCTCTTAGTGCTTATTTGAAACCTATCGTCAAGGAATGCAATGAGCATCTGGAGGACGCACCCACAAAGCAGTCTCAAGGCGCTGGACGGATCATTTTGGCCATAGCCAGGACGAATCCTACCGTGGCCGACAAAGTGACCAAAGGAATACTGCCTGTTTTGTTCTCTCTATACGGGTCCTCGACATCCATTGCGAAACGACGTGGCTTGTTGGAGGTATATAACAGTCTGGTACAAGCACATGCCGATCTGCAGGCTTCGGGACACGAGGTCTCTGTAGAGGGCCTCCAGGCTTTCCTTGATCAAGCAATGACTGCCATGCTGCATGCCCTTGCACGAGCCCCAAAACCGGAAGTTTCGTTCCGTCTAACTGCCATGAATGGTCTCATACAATTGATCAGCGCGAGAAAAGTCCTCTCTCCGGAACAATTGGGCCTGGCCGTAAGTGCTGTGCACGATGTTGTTCTGCATGAACAGATCGAAGGGCACGGGAACATCAGAGCAGAAGCCATCGCTGCATTGGTAGAAATCGCTGCTGCCGCACCCGATGCAATACGTGACCAAACAGTACCAGCATTCATGGTTGAGATGCCCGATGATGCCCCAGATCGGGCGACGTATCGAAGCGCATTGGAAGCCTTCGCTCAATTAAGTCATGAGCAACAAATCTTTGATACCGTGGTCTTGCGACTCAAGAACAAGCTTAAGGCTGCGCAGTCCCGACCAGAATCGAAGGAGCAAGCGTCGGACTTACTACTGGCCATTCTGTACTGCTTCACGAACGGAAGTCCAATGAAGGAAGAGAGTGGTAGCATCAGAAGTGACTACTACACGGACTACGCCGAGTATATGATCCAGCGTCTGAGGGACGCTTCAGCCCTTGACGCGGAAACCTCTACAGCCGCCATCGTTGGACGTTTGACGAACCACATTCTCCGCCAGCAGACGCCCCATTTCCAAGCGACAGTATACAATAAAGATCTGGAGTGGCTGTCGCCAGCCAAAGCATCCGAGCCGGACGATGCGACCAAGCGTGTTCGCGACTACGCACCTTTTGCGCTCTACTATTACGCTGCTGTTCGACCGGAGATCATAGACCCCCAGGACGTTATGACCACTCTACAGACACAGGCGGCGTTACTGTTGAATGGCGAGCCGGATCTCGTAATTCGCGCGTCCGTGATACGGCACCTATCACTTTTGATCAACAAGTTCTTGGAGCCCAAAACATTGGAATCGTCGCTACAACTCGGAGGAATTGATGTCGAGGCTTTACTTTCAGATCATACTAACATTACAAAGAGTAGCATATCGTTCGCCGTTCTGAGAGCAATGATGGTGCAGGGCAAATGTGGAGCGCTGACTTCACGATATATCGAGGCCCTTCTACGCACGCTTCCTGAAGCCAACAAGGCTTTCGCCCGGAACTTTGTACTTCTGCTCTCACCGGACGACATCCTTTCGAAGGAGAACCACTGCATCATATCTGGTCTATACAAACAGCGAGCATTCAGCCAACTCGTGAAGCCGATCAATGATTGTGTACGAGCTGCGGAAGCATCGGCCAAGATTAACTATCTTATTGCGATGTCTGGAATTCTCCAGTGGCTTCCATACTCAGTGATCGAGTCATCACTAGGAGACTTGATGCCGGCTCTGCTCCAGTGCATGGATTTGAAAGATGCTGGCGATCAAACTGTCAAGTACTCAACACTGGTCATCTTCGAATCTGTGCTGATGCACGACCCTGCGATAGTAGCAGAGCATGCTCGCTCACTGATCAACCGCCTGCTAGATGCAACGCATGGCTCTCCGAATGAAGCCAAAGTCCGGGCGAAGGCGTTGAGATGCTTGACACTGGTCCCTAAGCAGCTGAAACGCGAGGCAGTTGTTCCGTATCGTCGACCTGTGGTCAAGAAGCTCCTCTCCTGCCTCGATGATGGTAAGCGGAATGTCCGGATGGAGGCGGTGAGATGTAGAAGTGCTTGGCTTGCTTTAGATGAAGGGACAGACGAAGAAGAGTGATCTGAACACGAATGTGCAGCATGTAGACAGCACTATAAAGATGCATTGCGTAGAGCATTCTTTTGCGAAGATCAGACTTCTGCATTTGGTCTCAAGTGCCTTGAACAATCCATCTTGCTACAGTCTATGGTACCTGATCTGCTGATCGCATTGCTGCGTGTGTAGCATGTCTTGACCCGAACTGAGGATGTCCGGGGTTACGTGAAGAGTCGGGTGGATCAGCTGCGCAACATCGAGTGATCGGATTTTAGGTTTCAGTCGGACCTGGTAGCATTGACATTGGCACAGCATGGATTTAAATCATCCAACTCCTTCACCACGACGCATTCGTGGCCACGAGACGCTGATCCACGACCCGAAACTCTTGAGCCTCCAGTAAACACACGCACAGCCCACGCGGCGGGCTCGAGTCCGGCGCGGGACAGCACCTCGCATCTTCCGGCCACAAGCCCACTATCATGTGAAGAGCGGTACAGAGAATAGGAGATTAACGGCTTTTTCTTTTGGAGCAAGAGAACAGGGACACTCGGACAAAACGGCCAGTAGCGCCTCGCCTTCAACGCCCTTGTTTTGTCCCGCAAGCAATCAGCAGAGACATGGCAGCGGCCGAAGCAGCAGCCGACATGCTCAGTTCGCAGGACACGCGCCGGAATCGAGCGGTACGGGATTCGGGCGAGTCCTCTGCGGATGAGCAAACTGCAATCTACAGGAACACAGCGATCCGCTATGGCACGACAACGGGCGCGGCGGCAAGTAGTGAGGATGCTCAGGAGAATAGCAGAAACCACACTGGCGGGCCAGACTCTCACACGATGAACAATGGCTCAGTCAGGTCACGAGCTCGTCGTTCAGATGGTGCTGCGGGCGGTTCAGCACAATTACAGGACCCGAGCGTTGGAGCAGCTCAGCAGGCTGGCGAGAGCTGGTGGAAGACGTTGGTTGATAAGTACGGTAGTGTCGAGCTCGAAAACAAAGGCAGTGTTGCTCGAGATCACCTCGCTCTAGAACGCACTTTCCTGGCCTGGTTGAGAACTTCTCTATCGTTTGCGTCTATCGGTATTGCTGTCGCGCAACTCTTTCGACTCAACACTGCCATTCAACCTGGATCCGACGTCAACGGGACGACTACGAGGTTGAGATCTGTGGGGAAACCGCTCGGTGCAACGTTCTTGGGCATTTGTAAGTTTTATTTGCAGTTGCACCTCGACCATGTGTATGCTGATGGGCTCTCCTAGCCATTCTGATTCTCCTACTGGGCTTCCATCGCTACTTCGAAAGCCAGCACTACGTGATTCGCGGCAAGTTTCCTGCTTCGCGAGGAACGATCATCATAGTGTCCGCCGTCGCTACAGCCCTGATAGTAGCAAGTCTGGTCGTCGTGTTAGCCATTGCACCCAAGGCATTCGAGACGTGAGACAGACGTCTACTACGGGCAATGATGGCTTTACAGACAGTATCAGCGCCAACCCCATGCCTCACATCGTCGGGCTCAACGGCAAGCTCATTCACATCCCCTCGAACACCTGATGATCGTTTTGAGGTCTATGGCACTCCTCCTGACAAGTCAATCATGGAGCGAATCAACACCATTGCAGACTTCATCACCGTTCAAGAGCAATGTGCCGCCGAACTACATACTCGCCTCGCCCAGCTGACTCAACGAGTTACCGAACTTGCTTGCAAGCTTCAGGACGTAAACTCAGCTCCAAACACGTACGCTCTGCCTAGATCATTGGCAAACGCGAGCGTTCTCTACGCACCTCAATTCGGCGTCCCCACGACAAAAACGAGGTGTCAAAATCTTGCACGACAAAGAGGGATGGCGAAGCTAGATATCCCATGCTATGTTCCTCCTCGACCGCACCGAGCAAGAGCTGTAGCACAACAAGCCTGATGAACAACGATCGTATGAGCAGGAACTGCAGTCGCGAGGCCTTCTGGGTTCGAGATCAGCACACGCCTGGAACGATATTCCTATGGGCCCGGAACTGCGTGTTTGCAGCCCGCAGAGTGATCGAGTTGGCAGGATCGGTGGTATTGCCATTCCGTGGATGATCAGGAGGATTTGGTTCTTCAGCCCCAAATGACACTCCCATGGTTAACGGCCTAGGGAGATGTTGATGGGAGACGACATCAGTGGGTGCCATGGAGCCGCTGCCAGAGGTTACCGGAGGTGTTCTTTTCCATCGTTATTGAAGGCGCTAATACACCCTTGATGCCTTGGTTGGAATCTTGTTTAATGCATGACTGGTGGAGGTTTCAATGGCGTTTCGCACACAGGACGTCGCGGGCCTGGTTGGATTTATGGCGCATGGCCAATTTTCGCAATCCGTTTCGATATAACTACGGGCGCGAGAGATCGTATAGCCCTTTTAAATCTCAGCTCTGGAAAGCATCATTGAGATAGTCAACAAACAAATCGCGTATGCGAGCTTTGCTCAAGCTGTGTTGACGATTCAACCCAATGAATTGCCTGCGCAGTCGTTGTAACTGTGGGACTGATGGGGAGTTCATTGGCAAGCTGATTACCAACTCCGTGTCAGGGACTTGTAGTTCACCGCCACCTTCTCCAACATGGTCTTGTTGCCAGTTAGTAATCAGCGAGATCACATCCGAGGTGGTTTTGTCGAGCTCATAGAGATATCCTTGCTCGGCCGCTGGCTTTAGCACCGTCGCGGCATTTGGCCGCACGACCTTTGCTTTCCCATCCGACCCGATTAGTGCTTCCCAGATTGCATCATATGGCAGCTCGGCATCCTCGAAAGGGATAGTGAACAGGGGAGCATCCCATCTGCTCATGCCGTTTGGCTCTTCGTAACGAAAAACCAAGTTCTCGAAGACTTCTGGTGCGTAGCCTCCAGTCGAATCCTTGAGTGCCTGGTCATTGAGCTCACGACATTTATCTGCCGGTGTTCCTACGTGAATCACGCAATTCGTCGTTTGTACGGCTTTGGCTTCGCAGTAGAGTTGATAGCGGAAGCCTTTGATATAGTTCATTGCATCGGCTACGACGATGTTATCGCGTGTCAGGATGCGCTTGATGGCTGACGACAGAGTCGCGCGAGCATCCTTCTCGGATCGTGCAGCAGCGTAGACATCTCGAGTAAGTCCCAGGCTGTCGTCATTGACATGGTGGATTTTCAGGCGCTTGACTCTTGGCTCGCTGGATTCGGATATTTTTCGATTGAAAACTTCAATGAGCTGCTGGCTGCGATATGTTTTGCCGCTGGACGGATAGCCAGACAAGAGGATGAGCTGCACGCGCGGATGTTAGTGAACACACTCCCCAAGTCGTCGATGTGGTGGACGTGCCGGCATTGTGCTGTCGGATATGGTCGATCGTGAGCGTGAGTCGATAGGAGCGATAATGTCCGCGTGCCGGCTAATCGTGGTTCATGGCTGCCTCGGGGACAAGTCGCCGCGACTCGGAGGCCAAAGCTTGCTTCGTCACTGCTTTGATTGCCTTCTTGCTGCTGCAGCTGCCTCGTTTCGGGTGCTGTTGCCCGTGGGGAAAGAAGGCATGTTGCTTCCAGCGTCTGTGACATCCTCGCGCCCGCCTGCATATATGGCACACTAGACCGCGGCAACTGAAGGCGCCAGAGAAATGCCTGCAAAATACTCTCCCTCTTCCACACACTTGCACTTGCTTCCTCCCAACTCTCCCCCAGTATAACATCGACAAACGTGTTCCCGTCGCAGCCAGGCTATCCTCTCTTCTGGACTAGATCGATCACGTCGCTACAATCCTGCCCCGGCATCTACAATTTCGAGCAAGTGCCTCGGCGGCTCTTCCGCAACTGCGAGACGGCACAACTGACCCCCACAAGAGCCTCTTGACACGCCTGTGCTACCTCTTCCGTCCACCTTGCTTCCAAGAACTTGTTCTCTCCCTCCAAAACCGCATTCGAAACAAGCGGTTGTCTGCGGCTGCCGCTTTGAGAAACAACCGGCTGTATCCAAACTCTGTCTTCGGAGCTCCCACGGATCAGCACACTACAGCTATAGATTGGGCCAGTTTCTCCACGTCGTCCTCGGCATCTAGCATCGTATCGCCTTCGACGCCGTTGATCCAGGGTGCTATTTCACCGCACAGACAGACGTTCGAGAAGTCGTACTGTCGCACCTCTCATAAAGACTGTTGGAGGGCAGAGTGATGGAATCGCGGCAACACAGGCACGCCCACCAGCGACCTCCGTTCCCACAGCACACCTCACAAGCGTCCACCAGCTCGTCGGCGTTCCAAAGTACGACCTCCGTCGCGTCTGTCGCATCCGCCACTACTTCAGCTATGCAACGCTCACCAGCAATGAGTCTGGCAGGCTCGTCCGCCCCGTTACCCTCACCATCAACACAGCAGCCCGCAAATTACTTTGCGCCGCTAGCCGCTCAGTCGCCACTGGCTGCGCAGTCGAGTTCACAACAGAAAACATTTGTTGGCCAACGACATTCTGGCGACGCTCCAGAAACAGCACCGTTCCTTCAAGGGTTCAATCTGCTTGCTGAAGCAGCGAAGAGGGCGGAGATGGCTTGTCTGTCGCGAGATTTGAACGATGTTGGGCTATGAGGAGGCGAGCTGAAGACGGAACAGCAGCATATTGTTCCATGATTTACGATATCTCACAACGACGTGCTCACCACAAGCGGTCTGATGATGCGCAGCATGATACAACAGCATACAGCACTTGAGTGTGGAGGATCGAGGGTAGACGTGTAAAATAGACACAGAGGGCAGTGTGGCGCACAGCGCAAGGTGGTTTTTTGGTAGAAGATAGTCGAGAAATCTCAGCTCGATCGCCATCGCGGAAGATGGTGAAGCAGGTTTGGAGTCAAAGACCATGTCAGACGTTCCTGGCGCTCTGCTGCATCAGACCACAAGTTCGTGCAGGACCTTGACCGTGAGGCTCCACTTCCCACGTGCGTTGCAGCATGGAGCCACAAGCTTGCAGCACTGGGCCGACGCAGGATTCCACTTTCTGCAGCAGTTCGTGCCTGTAGACTGCCTCATCATCATGGCCTATGTGAACAGCAGCAGTGTTCGTCGCCTTCTTTCGGTGTGCCGCGGTTGGCGGCGCCGCTGCGATGACGCCGGTTCGTCACACGATGCCTGAGGGCACAGAGAACGGTTGTGACCGGGGTCATCCCAATGCGTCCCATGAGGAGCGGATGCATTGGAACGTCGAGTGCGGATTGTACAGTCAGCACGCCGGCATCCTACTGTCCGCTGCTGCTGCCGCTGGTGGCGATGGATGACCTCCGTCCGTGAAGTGAGAAGTGAGATCATTTCGCCGTGCATGCATCCGTCTTATTCAGCCAGCAGAACGTCCGTGATTATAGTCCGCCCTAAGCCCAAGCTCCAATTACCGCGCGACTCCAGCCACTGTCAACCTCAACGCACCACCGCACCCTCGCGCACCATCCCGACCTCGAAAGCGCACGCGGCACCTTTCGCATATCGCAGCCGAGCATCATAAACGGTAGCGCGCAGTCGGGCGGGCGACATGAGCAACTACAACCAATACTCCGGCTACGGCGGCAACCCGTACGGCGGAGAGCAGCAGAGCTACGGCGCCTCGAATCCATACTCAGGCGAGGCGGGAAACCCCTACGGCGGCGGGTACGACGGGCAGGCAGTGGTGAGTGGAGGCGCGGAGTGGCAGGGCGACACAGACAGGCACAGCTGACCGACCGATACAGGCGGGCAACCCGCGACCAGGCAACGCAACCGATGCGAATTATGGGTACGTCTACACTCCTCGGCCGCTGCTTCACCGCCGGACAGACGTCAGTTGCGACGGTCATGAAGATACATCCACTGACCAATACAACAGCACAGGTCCTGCGCCGTCCATCCCGGGCCAGCCGCCGCAACCCGGTCAGAATGTGCAATATGTTACCGCTGGGCCTACCGTCATGTCCAACTCGGACTTCTTGTCGCGCGTCGAGGCCGTCAAGGCTGATATTCGCACGCTGACCACCCATGTGGGCCAAATCGCGTCCCTCCACCAGCGCGCGCTGTCCTCGCCCGATAGCACATCATCGAGCCAGCTCGAGTCCATGATCACTCAAACCCAAGTTCTCAACACCTCGATCAAGGACCAGATCAAATTTCTCGAGACCGATGCTGCGCGCAGCAAGGACAACCAGGTGAAGAACACTCAGGTCGGACAGCTCAAGACAAGCTTCACCAAGCAACTGCAGGAGTACAGAGTAGAAGAGGCCAATTACGAGAAGCGCTACCGGGAGCAAATCGCACGACAATACCGAATAGTCAACCCAGAGGCTACCGAGTCGGAGGTGCAAGAAGCAGCAAATGCTGACTGGGGCAATGAGGGAGTCTTCCAAACCGCGCTCAAGACGAACCGATCCGCGACCGCCAACACAGTTCTCGGCGCCGTGCGAGCTCGACACAACGACATCCAGAAGATCGAGAAGACTTTGATAGAACTCAATCAACTCATGGAGGACCTGGCCACTGCAGTCGTGCTCCAAGAAGAACCCATCCAGCAAGCCGAAGTCCACACGCAAAACGTAAAGAACGACACAGAAGCCGGCAACGTCCAACTCGACAAGGGTATCGAATCCGCGCGAAGGGCACGAAAACTCAAATGGTGGTGCTTCTTCATCTGTGTGGCAATCGTCGCAATCCTGGCCCTGGTTCTTGGTCTATACTTTGGTCTGAGGAACAATTAATAATCGATATCCCCGAAGAACCGCAAAAATCCGAGAGCACCAGATATCAGCATTCAGAGGACGTGGTAATAGCAGCAGCTGAGAGTATGTGTGAGAAGTGAGAGCGCGCGCGCATGTTCAAATTATCCGAAAACCAAGAAGAAGAAAAGAAACACGAGGGAATTGCTATTCTCGGTTTAGTCTACCCACGGGCAAGACTACTCAAGCGGCTGCCACAGTCGCTACTTTGTACAGAAAAATGAGGGACGAGAGGTGGCGATTGTAGCACAGTCAGGCATAGCGGAGTGCGTGGTAGGGTAGGGTAATTTTCGTAGGAAAATCTCGACCATTAATGAACATCTTGATACGGCACATGAACAGGAGAGTCTTTTTCTTTGACATTTGATCTATCTATAAATGCTGGGCCGTACCGAAACTTTGTCCAGTCCTCTTCGTGATTTGTGTCATACAGCGACGACGCGTTCCTGCCGCATCGAAAATGCTTTCACAGCCATGGTCCGCCCTCCCATTGAACTTTTGGCCAATACCGTGTATTGTTCCTGATAGGTACCTTCCGAAACAGTAACGTTCACCAAACCCTCCACGCCATGCTTTGGGACAATTGATCAGGCCCAATATGCCCTGACTTGTTCTGAGGTCAGCGCTGATCAGCGATCGCGCTCCTCGATGCATTATGCATTCATGGTGGTCATCTACAGCAACATCCATTGGTATTCTGGTCATCGTCTGGTGGTTCTGCGTCCAGGTCGACGCTCAAATAGTCGGCAATATTCAGCGGTGCACTTCCATCTGGCATCACGAATTCGTGATCCAAATTGAAAGCTTCGAAGTCAGTGGGGATCACGTCGCCGTTTCCGAATTGTAGTGGGTCGTGTTCGCCATTGGGTTCCTGTTGGGATGAAGTATCACAGCAGCCACCAGATGATTGTTGAGCTTGTGCGTGCTGATGTATCCCACGGCTGCCATCGTAGTTGAAGGAGCGCGGCACCTTACTGGGAACAGCTCCGGGTGTCGGTTCTCGGGCATGTTTTCGACTGCAGCACTGCGCCCAGCTGCCTGTTCCTGGATTCTGGAAAGGTGGGGGGCAGTTCTTGCAAGTACAGCCGCTTACGCCACAATTTTGGCATATGGCATTTGGGAATTGGTAGTGGTAATAGTCGGCCCGTAATCGTTCGAAGTCATACGCAGAAGACTGCGTCGATGATAGAACTGACGGTGGTAATGTGCCGTGCACGTCGCCTATTTGACCTGTTTCATTATACTGTTGAGGCAGGTTCATGTCGTGCAACGGCTCCGGCTGTATAAACGAAATGTCCGGTACTGGTAGAGGCGAAGCAGTGTGTGACATCGTGGAAGCAGGTGTTTGACAGCAAGAGCTGGTAGGCGGTTGCGATTCGACATATGGCGACTGGAACTCTCTTGAAGGTATGGGTGCATTGTTGTCCCAAGCCAGTACATCGATTCCGACATCGTGAGAGCCTTGCGGCGCGCCGATGCCCATTAGACCGAATCTTGGTGTCAAGGGCGTGGACGGGCTGAAGGCGGCATAAGGAGCGGTCATGACGTGTGATCCAGGTGTGTGAACAATGGGCCCGGGAGTTCTGGTTTGACTGGCCCTCTCTGAGGGGCTTGCGATAGTGTGCATGGGAGATGGTGAAAAGTGCTGCACCGATATGGCAGCTGCTGCTTGCTTGGCCTCGAGAGCCTCTCGACTGGGGAAGAACTCGACGTGGGGCTTTTGCAGCGCGAACAATGCGGTCCAGTGATCTGGCTCAAGCAGACAACAGTACCGCCCTTGTTCATCGCAACGACACTCGCCGGTGCGTTTCTCGCCTTTCTTGGACTTGTGCGGACATGCTGATCGTGCCACCACGCATTTGCAACCGCCCGTGGCCCCATAGCGGCATGTGCACGAGTTCGAAGGCCGTCCTGGTCGTTTCACCGTCCAGAAGATCTTGGTGCGACACACGGGAATTCCGCATGAAGTGGTACGGTGGCCTCTTATGCACGACATACAGGCCACTTTACATGTCTGATTCGTCTTGAAATCAACGACCTCGATGGTCTTGAACGGCTTTTCTTGGTCCATCTTCTCGCCACCGAGGTCGGTAGGAGTACAGTACTCCGTCTAGGCTGAACCTGGTCAGCAATGTAGGCACAGAAGTTGGTCGTGACATTGAAGTCCCGATCCATGTTTCGGGGTCGATGGCGTAACGGAACGGAAGGCTTGCCAGAGCAACTATCCTCTACGGCCAGCGTCAAGAGCAGTATGGCGTACCGTCATCGCCAGGGACAAGCATGCAGGGCTCCGCGCAACGTGAAAACTGACCTTATAGTGGAGGTCCGCCTCAATGAGCAAGTTTTCGGGTACACCCGCAAAGGTCTTTATTGAGCAACGAATGGGGCGTGGGGGGCGGTCAGAGTGAGGTGAAGCGGTGGGCTGGTCAGTAGTCCGCTCGGAGCGCGCCCAGGGTGGAGGACCGCGGCGGCGGGTAGGGCTTGGTGTGGAGGAGGGAGGTTGAGAGTTTGGCGGGCGAGTTTGAGAACATTCACGCAGGTGAAGCAGGAGAGGTGGGTCCAGGCGAGTGCCACTGCCCGAGGGCGGCAACTGGTGCCAGACCTTGCTTACGAGAGTTGCAATGGACTGAGTTTTACCCGTCTGCCTCGTGAGCATCGACTGACTTCGCGAGTGCGGATCGCGAGTGCATGGCGCGTGTTCAGCAAGCACTTCAGCATGTGAATTTTGAGTGATGGAGGTGCTGGGCCCTTTCAGCGCAGCAAGTGTCGGCGCTCTTCCAAATCGCGGGCCGTCTTTGTGACGTCTCGCATCGAGGCTCTTCGACTTTCACTTTTGCCGCTGTGTAGGAGAGCTCACCTTGATGGACCATGGCTCAGACGGACAACGAAGAAGACACATTGGATTTGTTCCAGGAGCCTGAAGGTTACTACAAGGAGCGTGAAAAGCCAGCGGACGTCACGCACAGGACCCTCAGCGGAGAAATCCTCCAATTGCACCTCAGCTCGCAAAATCCACTATGGGTAGGTGAAATGGGCACAGAACGCACATCTCTAACGGACCAGCAACAAAAGACAGCGTGCGCGTGGACACTGATGTCACACACAGGGCCATCTTCTCTGGCAAGGAGGGCGGACGATAGCGGACTATCTAGAAATGAACAGAGCTCAATATGTTCAGGACAAGACCGTTCTTGAGCTTGGCGCTGGAGCTGGACTACCAAGCCTGATCTGTGCGATCAATGGTGCGAAGCAAGTAGTCGTTACTGATTACCCAGACGCTGAACTGATCGACAACCTGCGCGCAAACATTCGCGACTGTTCCTTGCTGCCAGAAAATGCGAGCAACCTCGCGGCCACAGGGTATATCTGGGGTGGCGATAGCTCTGACCTTACCTCCTATCTTGAGCCCGGTCAAAGAAGCTTGGGATTCGACCTTGTCATCTTAGCTGACCTGCTGTTCAACCATTCGGAACATGGAAAGCTGCTGCAAAGCATTCGACGGACGCTGAAGAGGTCAAAAGATGCCCAGGCACTCGTCTTCTTCACGCCATATCGACCTTGGCTGTTGCAAAAAGATCTCGCGTTTTTCGACCTAGCTCGTGACGATGGTTTCGTCGTGGAGAAGATTCTAGAGAAGCAGATGGATAAAGTCATGTTTGAGGAAGATCCTGGAGTAAGTATTCGTTTCCTGTACGTTCGCTGTACCTGTCCTGACCTCGTGAATTTCAGGATGAGACCCTTCGGCGGACTGTATTCGGTCATCGAATTCGATGGGGAGACGCTGCCTTTGAGAATGCCTGATGGCTCGAGACCACTTTGGACTGGCTCGAGGCGAGAGTCTGATCGTACGCTAATGATGCATTTTGTACATTAGTAGAGAAGAGTATCATACGTCCGTGCCGTACTGTGCCGTCAGTCCGCACCAGTGCTGGCTGTTTCTACATTTTCCTTGCACACCTACGCCGTTGCACATTTTATGATCTCAGTCCCAACAGAAAGTTACCACCCTTGCTGCCATCTTGACCACCCTGCCCACCACCTGGCAGATATGTGACGTTCGGGTTGTTTGCGAGCATCTGCGCCACATCTTTCTGTGTTTCGATTCTTCGAATTTGGATCAGACCATCACCACTCTTCGCCACAGCCTTCGAAATGACTTCGGCGGCCTCTGATTCACCCTCTGCGCGAATGACGTTCGCCTGTCGTTCTTGTTCGGCCTTCTCCACAATGAAACGTGCGCGCTCGGCTTCTTGTTGTGCGATCTGCTTCTCCTCAACTGCTTTGGTGAACTCTCGGCCGAAGGTCATGTGTGTAATGCTGACATCCTCGAGTGCAATGTTGAACTCCGAGGCACGCTTGAGCAACTCAGCTCGTATCCGATTTGATACAGCCTCACGTTGGGTAATGAGCTCCGCGGCGTCGAATTGGGCCACGATGGCCTTGAGCACCTCGTTTCCGATCGAAGGAAGCACACGCTCGTCGTAGTCTTGTCCGAGATTCTGCAAACAACTTAGACAAAGCCTCTGACTAGCACCGGTATAGTGACGCGTCTTACCTGATAAATTTTGGGCAGCTGCTGCACCTCAGGACGGTGGAGCACTCTCAGTGTCAAGCTCACCATCTGCAAGTCTTTGCTGCCAGTTGTGGTGCTGATATTGCGAGGCTTTGTCCGTACATCGAACGTGATCGCTTTTTGTAGCCATGGCACCAGGAAGTGTGTTCCTTCATTCACGACTTGATCCGAGACACCTCGCAGACGGTCGAAGATGACGGCTCGAGTGCCACCCTTGACATCGTAAATGGAGGCGGAAGCGAGGGAGAAGGCGGCGGCTGTGGGAATCGCCCATCGATAGATGCCGTTCAATGCGTTGGCGGCCATGATGGAGTTGAAAGCGGCGAGAGGATGAACCAGAGCTGGGCGTGATGCTGTCAGTTCGTTTCGCGAAGTAACTTCCTCTGTGATGAGGTGTGGAAGGCGCACGGACCCATCGGCTGCTGGAAAGTGCTGACCATCTTCCGCCTTCTCCTCCGACGTTGGCATTGAAAGCGCCATTCTCACGACACGACACCCGACATCACCCCTTCGGACGATTTTCCTTCGAACAACTACACAGAATCGTACCCGCTCGACGTGCGACGAGATGCGTGCCTCCCAGATCCTGCGCGCAGGCGGTGGTGAGAAGAGGCCAGGCCAGTGAGTCTCCCAAAAGATGATGAGGTGGATGTGGCAGCGATGGAGATGAAGCAAGCAGGCGTACAGACTTGCTAATACTGCGCTATAGATACCTTGGACCATGGGGTGCACTGGGATCAATGCCTCAGAAGGGCATTGTACACTACGGAATTTCAGCAAATCGCACCAACCCACTCGCTGGCACATTCAAAGCAGCCATCTTCAACACTTTCCGACGGACACGTGGGCAAATCCTGTACTGGGCTATTCCCATGCTTATCGCATATGAGTCCATGAACTGGGCAACTGAGAAGTGAGTGCTTGAACATTCGCGTTACCCCCGAAAGCACTTATGCGCATGCTTTTCGCAGCGGCGATGACGTGAGATCGTGTTGCTAACGAGAACGCAGGAACGAGTACTACAACTCCAAGGCAGGACGTGCAGAATTTGGCGAGGAGGTGTAAGCGAGGTCGACGGCTGCAACGAGGGGAAGCACCCACAGATCCGTGTACATATACAAGCGTGTATCAAGGCCTACCAATTTGTCTTCAAGGTCCAGCAGCATTGCGCAAAGCGAGCGACCTGTCCGTGCTGTGCTTCGGATAGTGAATCGGCTTCCCGATGAGAGGCGAAGCCTAGCGACCAAATTCTTTATGTTGAGAAACTTTCGACGGCCGGTCCCGATACTCTCCTTCAAGTCTCGAGGCCATTGGATTGACATGTTCCCAGCTGATTGGAACGACTGTATTTCTGCCGACACGCAGTAGGACTTTCGGCGGGAAACGGAGGCGGCGCACATTTGGGGGACCCAACAGGCGCGCCAGGCAATGCTGATGAGTATATCATGACTACTTTGCACGTCGATGCTCATAATTGATGTGCTTTCCGCGAACCTGACGTTCACCATAGCGCACATTGACCACATCGGTGACAAGCTGACATATCTGAAACAAAGCAAGGGTGTACGACAATACGAGACGTACGACCGACGTCGTCTCATGAGCTTCGTGCGGACACAAGACTACTCTACTCATCTATGGAGGCACTGACGATGTAGAGGCATTTGGTCAGCTGCTCTGGCCTGACTCTATAAACTATCACTGAAAAGCAAACCCGAATTCTGGGCCAATACTGCATACTGTGCCTGGGGAGGTGGGGTGCTCTTTCGACATTCGGATCTCCACCTTGTGCCGTGTAGCTAAAAAGCACTCTCGAGAAGCGTGACAGACACGGGACACGGTCGCGACGAGAGATCAAGGTATAGGCGTTTCCAAATTTCCATTTTGTTGTCCGTGGACCGCGATCGGAAAGCCTTCAGCATGCCAATGGCGTACAAGCCTTGGAGGATCGACATGCCAGTGCGTATTCCGCCACTCTATCGGTTCGCATTATTGCACGTATGAGCCTATTGACACAGGCTATAGAAACATGATGATTTATCACAGGAAACATCACAAGTCGATGAGAGGGTCCGCATCGGCAACAATGGCTCATGGAAGAAATTGCATTGCCGTTAGGAAAAGCATCTGTCCTGCTAGCGTGGCATCGCGCACTTGTAGATTCAAGCCTAGTGGATGTGCAGACATCTGCGCATGTGTACACCTGTGTACTATCATGGCAGCATGATCGCTCAATGATGAAAGATGGCATGCGCGATGTGTTGTGATGTCTATAAGACATGGAATGAGGTACATGCATCGCGGTACCTGCACTAGCGTGACAAAGCTAGCGTCTCGATGAATTCTCCGAGATGGGGACGATTATTGCGCGACTGTTGCCAGCGCGACATGTTGGCAAGGCGCAAATAATACAGATAACTAGGTTCAGCAGGCTCTGAACAGGGCGAGCAATCCTTGACAAGCGTGGCACGAGATGGAAGGGCCAAGGTGTTCCACCGCAGCCAATGCGTGGAACGTTACACTTGTCAAGTGGTGGTGTACAGCAAACGGGACAGGGCATTGATGTGCGCATGAAATGGATGCATGCGGCAAGGCGAGATCTGCTGGCTACTGTTGTGCTCAACTTTGTGTCATGTCATCTCTCGATGGCCATGTGACCATTGACGTGTTGCCGCCGTGTCGGTTTGCGAACAGTACATGTTTGCAATTTGCACCTTCACAACCATATTGTTGCCGCGGCACAAATGTGCTTGCGAACCGGCCAGTGTGCCGCTAGAGCGCGATGTGAGTCGTGGCGCGAGAGAGGTGATGAGGAGTGCTGTGGTGGTGATGGACCGGCCGAGAATCTAATAAATAAGTAGAGTTGTTGGCAGATGAGTGGAAGGTTGTAGCTCGTGGTAAGCGAAATGAAGGCAGGCACAAGCCCCAGCAGCTGCACCACGCTCAACCGCCCTTCCCTCTCTTTCTCCTCCGCTCGTCTTTGTGCACGCATCGTCGTCAGAAGGCCAGCCAAATGCTGTGAAAGCGTCGACAGTCCACTCGCTCCGCAAAGCCCATTATTCCACCCGGAGTCGTCGCTCCAATTCGCTCTTTGGAATCGCTATTGACCACGCGCGCGCCGGCCGACACATTCTTTACCACAACACGCTGCGCGCCAGCCAGCCATCTGCCCCAGATCTCGCCGATAACACACGCAGCCGCCACGAGACGTGCGTTGTGGCCCAAACGCTGCGATCGTCAACAGGAATCACGACCGCTCGACCTCGAACAAAGAGGCATTGACCGTGGCTTCGCCGGGACGAGAAAAGACGACCAGGCCCTCACCACTTGGCTGACCCACAGCCCACCACCGGACCGACGCGACCAGGCACACCAATCAGTGGCAGCGTTGCTCAGTTATGAAACTCTCCATCGCGCTGCTCAGTGCAGCTGTCGCATTGTCGACTGCACAGCCTGCGCATCAACACCACGGACACCATCAGCACCTGCACAAGGAGAAGCGCAACCCTGTCGCGCATCCGGAAGCCGATTATGTGACCGTGCCAGGGCCCACGAAGGTCCTCTATGTGCTGAATGGACAACCAATCGAGGAGGATGAAGTCCAGGAAGGCATTAGGAATGGCACATTGGTTTTCTCTGAGGGCGGGCTCACCAATGCCGCGCCCCCAGCCTATGCGCCGGCCCCATTGTCAAGCGCACCACCGCCACCTCCTCCAGCTCCGAAGCCCACCGAACAGGCAAAACCAGAGCCAAAACCAGAGCCAAAACCAGAACCAAAACCAGAGCCTGCACCAGCCCCACCCAGCTATGGAGGCGGAAGCAGTGGCGTCGATGCCGAGTTTCCGGATGGCAAGTTGTCTTGCGACACCTTCCCATCGGACTATGGCGCTGTACCTGTGGAATGGGTTGGATTGGGAGGTTGGACCGGAGTGCAATGCCCGGGCTCAGGTTCGTCTGGTTCCGGTATTGACAACATCAGGACGGTCACCTCCGGCGGCAACTGCGAAGAGGGCGCCTACTGCTCATATGCTTGCCCAGCTGGATACCAAAAGTCTCAATGGCCTACTACTCAAGGTGCCACAGGTCAATCCGTTGGCGGAATTCTGTGCAAGGATGGCAAACTCCACTTGACGAACCCAGGCATGTCCAATAAGCTGTGCATGAAAGGCTCGGACAAGGTGCAGATTCTCGTCAAGAACAAACTCGATAAGAACGTGGCTGTGTGCCGTACGGACTACCCGGGTACGGAGAGTGAGACAGTCCCTGTTGACGTTCAACCGGGCCAGACTTCAAACCTCACCTGTCCGGAGGCCGACAATTACTACACATGGCAAGGTGGAAAGACCTCGGCGCAATACTACGTCAACCCGGCAGGAGTGGCTGTGAAGGACGCGTGCCAATGGGGCACGCCAGATAAGCCATGGGGAAACTACGCCCCAATGAATCTCGGGGTTGGTTACAGCAATGGAGCTGCTTGGCTGTCCATCTTCCAGAACGCACCAACCACAGACGCCAAACTCGAATTCTGTGTCGAAATCGTCGGCGATGGCATCAGCGGCAGCTGCAAATACGAGAACGGGCAGTACTGCTCAGGCACATCTTGCAGCTCAACTACTGGATGCACGGTAAGTGTCTAAGCTTGAATCGATTGTGCGTTCAATACTGATTTGATATTTCCAGGTCTCTTTAAGTTCGGGCACGGCGACCTACGTCTTCTCCTAGTTGTGAAGTCGTGGTCCTGACAGCAGCTAGGCCATGGCCGCTCGCCGATTCGAACGACCACGCGGAATTTTTTTTGGCACATGCTTCGTTCACGAATTTCATTTACGATCAAGATGAGTAGACGAGGTCTTCAACGAACTGCGCAACGCCTCGTCCCATGCTTTGCGCTTCACGAGCATGGCAATTGGTCGGCATCGTGCTTCGTCCCCTCAGGCTGCTGGTTCGGTGCTGAGCGCTGCACGGTTCATCTACTTTTCGAACGAAACATGCTTTTAACACGCTTGATCTCGTGTGGGCGAGTGGCATTGAAGTGCGCTGGTTGCCATCAGCCGCCAATGGCCGCAGTGGAGAGTACATGTGAACTGCTTGAGTTGCTGCGACAAGAACTGAGGGCTGATGTGATGAGACTTGCCGCAATGGTCTCGCGAATTTCGACCGGTTTGTGTACATAATGTCTTTGTTAATTCTCGTAGCGCGCCTCTCCGTTGAAATGAAGTTCTCGTTCTCTGCATCCTCGTTGCCGCGTGTTCAGAAGCCAATTGTCGTGAGTCGTCATCAGAAACGCTTGAAGGTGTGGGGCCGTACCTGCTTCCCGCTTGCGATTTAGGCATCTTGGAACATACAGCAACCCACTCGAGCTGCTGCTGTCACTTCACGGCTGACACTACAAACCTCGCCACAAGCAGCACATACAAACCACAGCAATCATGGCGGAGGCGCCAATTGGTAAGCGACAGCGCATGGCACTTCTGTCTACATCACTAATGCGCAGTATAGTGCTCGATGGCGGTACGGGCTTCCTCAAGGCTGGCTACGCCGGTCAGGTATGGCATGGCCGGAACACCTCTGATGGGCGATGCACACTGACGCGAATGATACACAGAACTTCCCGGACCACCAATATCCCTCGATCGTCGGCCGGCCAATATTGCGAACAGAAGAGCAGGCACCTGGCGACATTCAACTGAAGGATATAATGTGTGGAGATGAGGCAGCAGCGGCGAGATCAATGCTACAAATCACATACCCGGTACGATGAGCATCTGGGCCATGAATCAAATGCGCGCCGCAGGGCTGACTGAACCGTGATCGCAGATGGAGAACGGTATTGTAAAGCGGTGGGAGGACATGCAGCACCTCTGGGACTACACATTCTTTGAGAAGATGCAGCTCGATCCGACCGGCCGCAAGATCCTGTTAACAGAACCTCCGATGAATCCGCTCAAGAACCGAGAGCAAATGTGCGAGGTCATGTTCGAGCGCTACAACTTCGGCGGTGTATATGTTGCGATCCAGGCAGTGCTGGCCCTCTACGCACAAGGACTCTCATCTGGAGTTGTTGTCGATTCTGGCGACGGTGTTACGCATATTGTGCCTGTATATGAGAGCACAGTCCTCAATCATCTTACGCGAAGGCTGGATGTTGCAGGTCGCGACGTAACTCGGAATCTGATTTCGCTGCTACTACGACGAGGATATGCGCTGAACCGTACCGCCGATTTCGAAACGGTTCGTGCGATCAAAGAGAAATTGTGCTATGTATCATATGATCTTGCACTGGACCAACGGCTCAGCGAGGATACCACGGTTCTTGTCGAGTCGTATACCTTGCCGGACGGACGTGTTATCCGCGTCGGCAGTGAGCGCTTCGAGGCTCCGGAATGTCTTTTCCAACCACATCTGGTCGATGTTGAACAGCCTGGTATTGCTGAATTCCTCTTCAACACGATACAATCAGCCGACGTGGACATTCGATCGTCACTTTATAAAGCCATTGTTCTTTCCGGAGGAAGCAGCATGTACCCGGGCTTGCCATCGAGAATGGAAAAGGAGATCAAGCAGCTGTGGCTCACAAAAGTACTTGGTGGCAACCCGGAGCGATTGAGCAAGTTTAAAGTGCGAATCGAAGATCCGCCCAGGAGACGACATATGGTGTTCCTCGGCGGAGCCGTCCTTGCGAACATCATGGCCGACAAGGAGAATATGTGGGTATCAAAGCAGGAGTGGGAAGAGCAAGGATCTGCAGCCTTGAAGAAGCTAGGCGAGCGATGAGACTCAATCACAGCATTGGAGACGCAGCGGCTGCCTTTTGCCGCCCGAAGGCGGAGGGCGTGTAGCTCATGCTTTGGCCTAAATAGAACGCCCCGAATGCAAATACGTTCCTACTGATTCAAAAAGCTGAGGACGTTCGAGATCATTGCATGCGATTTGGTTTCTGTACAGTGTGAATCGCTGACCCTGTTCAGCGCGTCATCTAGAAGACTGGACATAGTCCACACTTAGCAAATATACAGGTGTTCTACTTGGACACGCTCGCAAACATCAACCCTGTGAATGAGACGCTCGCGGCGCCCGGTCATTACCGCTCAGCGTGTCCGGCTGCATTGTCTCTCATATCAAGTCCATATCTTTCGCAGTCCACTGTGTTCCCATACTCAAGGCCTCAGTACTCGAAGGCCATCGCGCGATGGTGCTGTGGCACGCTTGAAGCTCTGATCAAAGGTCAATCACTGCGCCATTCATCCCGGGTTCCTATACATACGCTATCACACTCCTCCCAGGCCCGTCCAGCACCAAATCCGAGGCCAGCCCATACTGGGAATGCACGGCGCTTGAACAGGAGTACTGAGAAAATGACGCCAAAAGATGCGCCGAGGCCGGATCGGATCAGCAATGTGCTCAAGCAGTGGTCCCACTGTGCTTTCCTGTCAGCACTCCACGTTCCTTATGTCCTGTTCTCCCGCTCTTCCTGTCTCACCTTTTCGTTCAACAATGCTTCGCTCATCGGTCGGTTGGATCGGGCTGGGGGTGGAACAACGGCGTTGCTGCTTGAGCTTGAGTCGGCCATGGTCGCTGATGTGTCTCGATCTTGCCCGACGTATAGATGGCGCTGGCTCGCGAGGTAGTTCGAAGAGGTGCGGTGCAGATGGGCGTAGGCTGTCGCTGTCGCAGCACCTGTTGTTTGCGAGCTCTCAATGCCAAAAGCCGGAAGCTAGCGCGGCGGCGGCGCCCGATCGGCATCTGGCCCGAGCTTTTGCGACTTTTAAACATCTCGACTCCAGAAAAGTCCACCAAAAGACACGACCTTAAGGCCAATTGGGGCCGAGGATGGGAGCCGTGGCAATGGAGAAACCAACTTCGCTGGATCGCCTCAAGGCGCTGGACAAGCTATCTACACTTCCCCTACAGCTAGAAGAAGCACAGCAACTATGCAACCACCCTTCTCGAGCCGAAATGATACTGCGCTGGCTGGTGAACAAGTTGAAAAGCTCACAGGAAGCACGAACCGATGCTGGATCTTGGGACTTACTCTCATTGTGCCTGCGTTTACTACCAACACAGAAGATCGCATCAGTCCTTGGCCCTGGACCTTTTCAGGAATTCTTACAGCTAACATGTGTGGAAAGAGGCCTCCCGGAACGGACTCTACAGGCCGTGGCGGCTACATGGGGCCTACTGTCACAGAAGGGCCAAGCGTTGTCTGGCGCTGCAATCAGAGCACTCTTGAAGACGGATGGCGCTGCTGCAGCGAGAGTCTCCGGTCATTGGTATCAGCACGTCTATGCAATTCTGCAAATCGAAGACTCTGCTTCCCGCACAGGCACTGCAATTTCTCTGTTGGAAATTGGGCTGCAGCTCTGGGAATTGCGTAGGCGCTCACAGTCTGACGATGCCGCCTTCTCAGAGCATTGTTTGCTGCCTGCATGCCAGTTGGTCGTCCTTCTCAGAAAGAACATACCTGCTGGAGCGAAGCGCAAACGAGCTAAAGATGCTCTTGAATCGTCCATCAATCCTTTGCGCTCCCTGGAATCGATAATTGCCCAGCATAGTGTACTGCCCGCTCGCGCAGTATTCACAAGCACGCGTCAAAAGCAAGACGGGCACAAGAAGCGACCTGCATTGGGCAAGACTGAGCAGTCATTAGAACACGTCCTCGAGCCATTCAAAGACTCCTCGGTAAATTGCTACGAGATAGCACCAGTCTTCATGGATATTGCGTTGTGCGCCGTCTCCACTCCAACTCCTGGACTACGCAGCCGCGAAGCGCCCTGGGTCGAGGTATGTTCAGTCTATGCTCAGTCGCTTGAGATGCGGGCGCCCGTCCTGGCATATCCGAAATAACTGTACTGTGCTCATCTGGGTCGCATGGTTGGCTGACTATATACAGACTTTGTTTGATGCCTTGCTCAATCTGTTGGACAGTGACAGCAAAGAGCAAAAATCTGCGACCATTGCGGAAATGCTTCGTTATATTCGCTTGCGCAAAATGCCGTTGTCAACGCAGAAACTGGCGAACTTAGCAGCAAGTGTACTTGCTGATGCATCTGGACACAAAGGTCTGCACCATTGCCAATCGTGGTGGCCAGTGCAATACTCGCTGACCCCTTTCAGATTCTGGACGCACCTTGATCGCCGAGATTGTGGCCTTCAACGCTGGTGCTCTCACCGAAGCCTCTATCGCTCGAAAACTGTTCACGGCTATTGCGACGTGGCAAGCGTCTAACTCGACAGCTGATACAGTAATCATCAGAGATCGTATCGTCAACCCAATTATCGAGGCGTTCACCCAGAAACAACAGATGTCAGAACTTCTCGAGCTATGGCATCAACAGCTGGTCGAAACCAAGGACCACGAATCTGCTGGAATCTGGCATATCATCGTACCACAGATGAGTGAAGCATTAGCATCGCCTACCGCTAATGATGTAGCGATGTCGGCTCTTGCTCGCTACTCAACACTACTCCAACAAGTGGCCGATGCACAAGAAAGCCTGAATGGAGAGAATGTGGCCAGCCGACTCCGTTCTGACCTCGTTCTTCTTCGAGCGATTCTACAGGGACTGCGAAAGAACAGCCACTTGGTTGAAGTGCAGCAAGAACTTGACGCAACCCGCGTGAGACTAGGGACCTTGGTCAAAACCAACAAAAAGCAAATATCTGCTCCTTGTCTCAACGAGGTCTGGCAGCTTTCCGCACTAGTCCTCGAGCTCTGGTCCCCCTCATATATTGCTGCTCAGCATGATCAATCCGCGGTGAAGGATGTCCTGGAGAATCTGGTGGCGAATGACCTGTTCGAGACAGCAGTCGAGGATTGCCAGAGCACATCGAATTCCAGCTCCGCGGCACAAGTCTTGATTGGTACGGTCTGCGCTCTTGCCCAACCATACGACATGAGCAAACAGTGCACAAAGGCATTGAAGCGGGCTGTCGAAGCACTTTGCGAGCGTCCGTCTACGATGGTGAACTTTCCTCAATTGATCACTGGACTGTCGTCGAAGCAAATTGGGACTGTGTTACAAACAGCGCTCGCTGCGCAAAACGAAGGCGCTCAACGCCTGCTGTCTCAACTCTCGGCTAGCTTGCCACATTCCGAGAACTTCAGCGCCATCCTTGCGGACTTGCCCATTCACCAAGTCGTGGCATTCTCGCCGTCATCTTTGACTCCAGCCCAACGTACCAAGGTGATTACAAGGCTCCTTGATGAGGCTCACGACCATGATAATGAAGTCTCGCCAGCATCTCGTTTGGCCCTCATCGTGGAATTACTGGCATATCCGGTCGAAGCTTTGAGCGTGACAACTGCAACTTCAAAGCTGTCTGGTTACGTGCGTCGCTCGTTGGCTGCAAACGTCCTTGGAGATAGCGAGACCTTTGCTCGGGCTCTTGCTCTCGTGCAACCGAGCATGCGAGCGATATTTCAAACGATGTCCACGAAAACGAGTAGAGACTATCAAGAACTATCTGCTGTTGCAGTGGAAACCATTGGTCTCCTGGAGAAAGCGTCGCCGGAAACGGAACCCGCTTCGAGTCCAGCAATGCTTGCGGTATCCGTGCTCATCGCTCTGATCGAAGAATCGGCCGATGATGCCTCCACTTATGCACATAGGAACAAACGTCTCGTGAATACACTCATGGACGCTCTGATCACATCATTGGAAGACTTCACATCAACGCTCGACCGCGACTTCAACTCCGAACTCTTCTCGGCGACCGCAGAGGGACTTCTCGTTCTCCCGGAATCTGTGCTGAGCCTGAGTGGTAGCAAGAGCAAGAAGTTTGCGTCAAGAATCGTTGCGTCTGCCGAAGGAGTCCTGCGAGCAGAGTCCAGGTGCCCGCATCATGTCTTGGTGGCGAGCTTCAGACTGCTCTGCAAATATGATCCTGCCTCTGAGACTACGACAAGAGCCAGTAGCATCTTGTCGAGAAATCTCGATGCTAGGAGCTCGGGGGCGATACTTCGAATTTACGAGGAAGCACTCGACACCAAGTTTGGGCCAGACGAAATCTCAAAAATTATCGCCTCAGGACCACCTCAAAATTATGCCATAGCGCAGTTGCACCTCCGCGCAGTCCGAAAAGTTCGTGGAGAAATGTTTGAATCAACAACGAACCTCTCCACGAACGATGTATGGCATTATCTGCTTCGAACGCTCCTCGAAGCGCAGGACTTTCGTGTCCGCGGAGAAACTCTGCAAACAATCTCTGTGCTTCTCAAAGCCAGAGGCTTCGTACTCAATCAGTACAGCCTAGAGCAGACACTCCAGTCGCTCCACAGTTTGTTGACAACAGGAAGTCACATTGAGTCGTTCTTTCCGAAAGTGTGCAAGATCCTCAAAGTGCTCATCAACCAATATCGGACTAAACTGCAAGGCCGCTTCCATCTGGTCACCCTTGTCTTCCAAGCATTACTTTCCGGCCTCTTGAATGACACCTCCTTAGCTTCCGCGCGCTTGCAGGACTATCACGGTCGACTCGTCGCCAAACTTCTGGAGCTCTTCTGCAAACCCATCTGGGTACGTAGCACTGCGACAAACCTCGTCGATGCATCACGAGAGGCACAGAAATATGCCGGTCAATTCGTCCAGCACATTCTACACCATTACTGTGCGTTGGTCCTCTCTTCAACGCCGGCCGAAGGAGTTAGATTGGCAGTCAGACCGGGCATTTTCGCCATCATCGAGGCCATGGAAGCTTATGATGAAGCGAGTGTCAGATCATTGAGCGCGGCCATGAACAGCAACGAGCGGGCAATCTTGCGCATGGTGGTACAGGATTGGCGACAATTTGGAAAGTGGGAAGGGTCTTAGAGAAAAGATGAAAGCTCAGCAGAAGTCATCGGCATACTAGACAAGTGACTGCTATAATACGAGACCGTACGGAGTGCAGGTCAATTGAACAATTGAAAACTCCCCATCATCACCGCCGTACAAACATGTACAAAATGCCCAACCTCGATCAACGCCAGTATCCCCTTCATGCAGTGTGGTATCATAACACAATTCATGCAATTTCCATCGCAGCACCAATTTCTTCGCTCATACCCCTCACCTCTCTCGACGGCCAATACTCCATCTCGTCATCGTCGTAAGCCTCGTAAATGGGGTCTTCGTCGATGTTATAGCTGAATCTGCCGTCGATTAGATTATCGCGAATTTCATCCAGGTCCATGTACGGCACCTCAACTTCATCGTCGTGTTCAGAAATAACCATTTCGTCATCGTCATCTTCTCCAAAGCTGACAGTGTCGATGCTTCTTTGGAGCATGTCATTGCTCAGCCAGAACGCCGCGCGCTTCCCGGCGCCCTCGCCGACCGAAAGACTTGACACTTTGCGTTTCATCGGCCGAGGCCGCTGAGCAGTCATTGCTGCTGGGCTGTGCGAGATAACACTGAATGCGCGTAAGTATATGTAGCATACCCGTTTCTTCTCCTTGTTGAAGAAGAAATAATGCATGCTCCATATGGCGCCTTCCTCCCCATCGAAGGGGTCATCGTCCGGTGTCCATGAGTATTTCTCACATTGTCGTAGGCCCATTTCCTTGTCAATGAGCTTCCACATGTTTTGGTTCCATACGTCATTCCCACTTCCTGGCCCGGGAGCTGAGCTCGACAGAGAAACAGGGCTCAAGTAATTCGATATCACCGTCTGCCTCGGCCGCAGATGTTGCAGCGTGCTGTCCAGATTGTGCATGATGGCCCGGAGACTCCGCTCTTTACGAAAATCCGCTGGCTTCAGAAGGTGTGAGAAGTCATAGTCCGGATGTGAAGCATTCAAAGTCGCGATCAAGTACGCGAACGTTCTCCGTGCGTTCCCCTGTGATAGACTGCCAAATGGCGATGCCCGAGAAAGGTCGATTTCTGGAGCATCGACTGTCCTACTTCTTCGAGTTCTTGATCCCTTATCATTACCTTTACCATTCTCGAAAGGCAAACATGGCGGGCTTAGCGAAGCGGAGAGTCTCACCAGGGATTCATACTGTGACTCGAGATTGTTCTCAATATTCTTGTACAGCTTCTTATCACCACCCGCGGCTTTCGTGGTATAAAGGTCACACCCGCCTACGATGTGACAGTCCGGGGTGGAGAAGTTCAGCGCATTCGTGACCGTGTCGAGTTCTCGTAATTGGAGATACTGCGAGAAGGTTAGCTGTTATTTCTTGCTGGGGGACCGATAGCGGCGCAGCGCGCATCGCGATTCATCCAAATTGCGACCCTCGATATCATCTCACTGGGCCGCATGTTGTACGACATCGCTGCGCGCTATGCCCGCCGTGATCTGGGAACGCACCTTCATCGTGTCTGCCGGCTTGTTGCACAAGCGCAAGCTGTTCTTCCAAGCTGTTTCTGATCCTCGTCCGCGCCCCCAGAACCACTGCCGGGCGATAAGGCACCTATGCGCCTCGCAAATATACAGTTGCTAAAGCCGCTGCAGCCTCAGCTAATGCGCAGGTCGATGCGCGCCGCCGGTGAGTCGTAGTGGAGTAGCTGGATGTCGGATGTGCCTGATATCACTTCCCTCAGTCGGAAGCCGGTCGGTCGCGAGACTGTAGACTAGACGCTCGATGCGTCTAGCAGGCGCAGAACGCAATAATGGTCGCCATAAGAATCGTGGTGGTGTCGGTGTGGTTGCGCGCGTTGTCGGGGTTGTGGAAGTGACGGCCGATGAGAGATGTCGAGATCCGGACCCCATCAGCCCCATCCGCTTGGCGAGGCTTGCGACAGACCAATGAGCTAGAACTCCGCTGACACGCCTCGTTTGGCTTACGACGGGGCAGCCGTGTGTCAGAAGATCAGTCGTTGCTCACATCAATTGACATGGTGTCACTCGTCACGATGGGCAGCGTGGATGGCTGCCTCGCCGCTCTGCCCGCTTCATTATTAACCAACTTGAATCACGATAGGTATTTTAGCACACAGAATCAACAAGAAGGAATGGAAAGAGTACCTACATTCTCGACTCCCGGGACCAGTATTGCTGCCAGCTTGATATTCGACATGCTCTGCGATGCTGTTAATGTAAGTAGGCGAGATCGTACGAGTATGATTGCGAGCCGGGCGTAGATGCTCAAGGCGCATTGCCGCGAAAGTGATCATTATATTGTCATGCATGCGGTGTGCCGCTTGCTCTGCACTATGTGCAGATTGATTGGCTCTATACCTACAACAGGCAGGCTGGATTGAAGTCGGCCATCGCGTCATATAATCTGGGTATCTCCAGTCTCCAGTAAAACGCCGACCAAACGCCACGCACTGAGAGCGTACTGTTCCCACTCCCAAGCAAAATGCTCTGAAAGAGTACTAGGCAGCTAAATGAGCCCAGCAGCTCTAAGCGACTTCTCGATTTCTGCACTTTGCTGTTCATTCGTCTGTACGCGAGCGCGTATGTTAGCCGGATCTTGAGGAGTCTATGGGCATGCAAGTGGGCGATACAAATGTGCGGCGTGGACTTCTTCAACCGATCTTCGTGACAGCATCGTCCTCGACCTAGGGGCGAAGGCATCAGTGGGCGACGATCCAGGAACATCTGACTGGCAAGGGAGGGCATGGCAAAGCAGGAACCGTGCCCGAAGTCGCGCCACAACTCACCTCCATATCCTCGAGACTGTCCTGAGCACCTATCACCCGCAGCACATTCTTCTTGCTGCTTTCTTGCATCTCACCGGCAAGAAGTAGCTCATCCAAGATGAAGTATGCCTTCTGGAAGTTGAAGATGATGTCGAGCTCGCACACGTTTCCGTAGTACTTGTCCATCTGCTCTACGTATCGGTGGACAATTTCGAGGGTGATGAGCTCGTTGTCTGTCGGGTCGGTGGCGGCGATGAAGAAGAGCGAAGCATATCGGCGGTAGACAACTTTGGTGTCTGGAGCATCACGTATCAGCAACGTGCTCGAGCGCCACAGGGAGTAGCGTGCTACCTTTGTATTCGAGGAAGTTGCACATGCGAGCGCGGCGTGCTAAGACCAGCTGGGACACATCCTTGATGATCTTGGCCTTATCCTTGGGTGACAATGTGGTGAACCATTTCGCAAGGCGCTGTGAGTGCAGAGTGCTTTAGTATGCTGTGCTGTATGCCGCCAACGGACGCTCTCGACTGCAAGTAAACGGTCAACCTACGACTTTGCCCTGCCGTGACAGCAGAATGAGATATCTCGAGGGTCATGTCAGCCAGGCGCACTCAGTCGTGGTCGCGGTCGCTGCACGTACCGAATGGCCATGATTTCCTCGACGTGGCAGCGAGGCACGTGGAGGAGAAGAGAAATGGCAAAGGACGAAAAGTCGGCCCCACCAGGAAGTGGACTGAGCGCGGGAGAAGGTATCTGCCGACGGGGCACTACTTTCGTCGATGATGTCCCGCTGACAATTGCACGCCCTTCCTTTTGGCCGCTATTTTCCTTCGTGTCTGCTGCTGGTCGGACGGTGTTTGAGGAGCAGAGTTGCGCTGGAGGAGACCAAACACCCGCCCAGCCAAGAGACAAAGCCTGCGCCGTGTTCGCCAACTGCCACCACCCGCACGTTCGCTCGCACGTCCACCTGCACGCCCGCCATGAAGCTCATTCTTTCCACCTCGTGAGTCGACCTCGGACGCCCGCTGCGTCGCCATTGTGGCTGACCATGCAGTAATATCATGGGCGTCGGGTCCTCGATCCGTAGATCGCCCACGTCCAAGTCCAACACCGAACTCGTCTCGTCGTTACGCGCCAACTTCGCAGAGCACTCGGGCGCCGATCTGAACGCTTCCAGCAGCTCGACCAACCAAGCCAATGGGCAAAAGAACGGCGACAATGGCAGCGATATTCAGTGTGCCGCTCCACACTACGGCACATGGACGAAACGGGACGGCAACGCTCTGCAAGTTCCAGCATTGGACTTCTCGCAGTCGGCGTTGCAAGAGGAGCGCGAACAATACGATATCACTGTGAAAATATTCTACTTGCCTGGTGGCACCAATGCCTCGCGAGAGGCCCAGACACGGGAAGCATTGGACTTGGTCATGAAAGAGCTGCATGTCACATCGATCGACCTCTTGATCGTCTCGTTTCCCGGGATATACTTCGATGAGGAGGAGGATTGCCCTGAAAAACTCTCCACCCGTGGCCCCATAGAAGCCGAGCCTGAACCTCTCGAGAGACAGATCGATGCGTGGAACGCTGTGGAAGCGCTCTTCGACGAGGGCATCGTTGCAAAACTAGGAGTGGCCGAGTTTGGGAAAGAGCGTTTGGAGACCTTCTTGGACAAGGTGAGAATCAAGCCTACCGTCGACCAGGTCAATCTCCGTGACTGCTGCTCTGTGCCCAAAGAGCTCATGGCGCTCGCGAAGAGTCAGAGTGTCGAACTGCTGGTGCACAACGACTGCTCAAACATTCTGCCTCGGGGCACTGTGCGCGAGCTCCTCGGTCCCGGTCACACAGGTGCCAGAATCCTAGCGGAGCAAGCCAAGACCGGAAGTAAACGCAAGAGCGTTCACGTGGAGGACAAACCAAATGGACATGCTGGGGATGGTCTCACTGGGGAAGTACAACCGCAGTGGGTTGTCAAATACACAGCTGTGGTCAAGAACAGAGGCGTGGTGGAGAACAAGGGCTACTTCGCTGTTGCTGAGTTGACCTGAGAAGCATCGATCCTTCTCGATGACCTACACAAAAATCCTACGTTAAGCTTGGCAACCTGCGTGGCAGAAGTGTCGTTCATACGCCAGGCAATCTACATCCCTGCGAAGGCATGAACTCGACCTACAATCTCGAAGCGATGCCATCAGGCGCCGATGCTAGGTGCAGTTGCCAGCACTCATGCAGCTACAGACAGCAGCAACTGCGATGACGCCACCAGCTAGCTTCGGCGCCATCGAAAAATCCTTGAAGAACGGGTTACAGATACGAGATCAGCTCGATATGAGCGGATGGTGCAATCAGCTGTTGGCGGTTGGCAACTTAGGGCGCTTATGCGACATCTGGGATGGCGTGGCAACCATCGGGCAATCATTACAAGTGCCATTGCGAACTTGCAAGGAACATGTAGTCGCCGACGCAATCGAAAGCTCCTACTCCGATGCAGTGAAGCACTACAGTCCAGTGCATGAATCCCTATCACAGCTTGATACCCTCGAACAGCAGAGCCAGATTGCGAACGTCAGATACATGATGTGTCATATTGTACAAATTGGCCTTTCGCTACCAAACGCCTGTCAATGATCTTTCAGAAACTTCAAACGTCCGTCACGTCTGTTGCCGAGTCTTCTGTTATTCCTGGCTCCTTTGGTTCTGCTGCTTGACCTTTTCTTGTCGCTGCCTCTTTTGCCAGTTCATCCCAAACCTGCTTTGGATTCCAGGCGCTTTGATCGTCTTCATCAGGCCCGTCCCAGATGGTTGTCTCGACACCTTTTGGGTTCCAGATGCTATCTTCCATGGGAGCATCGTGCGTCTCATGATTCAACGCCTCTTCCTCCGCTTTGTTCACCCAATCGCTCCAGACACCTGTTTTAGGTGCTGCCTCGTTGGCTGGGACCCACTCAACAGCCTTGGTGATCAGGATGGCCTTCCACAACGCTACAGTAAAGTTGTCAGATTTCCAACCCCCCTGGACCCCTTGTTCCTTGATCTCGAAACATGACACGTCCCAGTGCCAGCTTTCCGGCAAGGCTGCTGCTACCCAGTGCGAAATGTTGATGAGAACGTACGCTCCCGCCCAGGCAAATTGGAGTTCTAAAGATTTCAGCATGATTAGTAAACGTGTTCTCGGAGGCCATCGCAGCTAGCTAGTGGAGGAGGACAATACTCACGCAGTTTTGCGTTTGCCAGAAATACGATTCCCAGCATTAGAAGGATTGTGCCAAGCAGAGAAAGCATCTGGTATGCAATCGGGTTTTGGACGAGGTAGTCAATCTCCTCAGGAGCGAAATAGAGCGCTCTAGCAACGACTTCTTCGCACTTGACCACAAGGAAACTGCCGTTGGGGTATCGAACTACCAGATCCCCCTTGGTCGAATTGCTGGCGGCCGTAGGCAATTTCAGAGTCCACTTATTGCTTATACCGACCACAGTGGACAGCAGTGATAATGAAATGGTAGCCAAGAGCGACATGCCGTCACCAAAAACGATGGAGCTAATCAGGAGGATAACAGCTTCTAGGAAACCAATTAGAGCCACCCAGGTTTGCGGTCCAGTAGCTTTTGCCTTGACAAGCGGAGCGCGAAGTTCGGGATGCTCGTCAGCCTGCTTTCGGAGCTCAGGAGGAACATTTGGCTGCCCTCGGAGGGCCTTGTCCAGAAAGGTTGGTTCTCGTTTCTCATTCTTTTTGACCTTGAGCTCTACACATCGAACGGTGTATGACGGCATAGGTGGATTGGTCTGGAGGAGAATATGTGCGACATGATGGACATGAGGCTTTGTGTTGCCAGAATGCACGCCGGTGACCTTGCCGGCCGTACGCGGGAGCTCAACTGGTCGCGTAGTCCGAATGAGAGCTTGCGGTGCCGGTATCAATCTTGGTAGGAAGGACAGACGCGATAGAGCTGAGACCTGTGCGTTAGCGAGTACAGCTCCTTCTCCCAGTAAGGCGAGGAAGCCGACAATGTCCAGCTGAAAATTGTCGAATTTGGACCATTGCCACCAGATTTCCCAGTTCGGTTGGCCAGGCATGGCAACTGTGACATTGTTGTTGCCCGCCATTGCCTGTGATGCAGGTCTGTCTTGAGAGGAAGATGTATCAAAAGTGTGACGCCAACGTCAGTGTGTGAGGACAAGAGCAGATTGACTGCGTGCTTTTACAAGAGAAGAGAGAAGTGAGAGATGGCGCTGGATAAGAAGATCACAGGTCGACGTGATGCGAGTGAAAGTCGCGATGTCTAAGACTGGCGGCCACGAATCTCAGCCTTTGGCGTTCCGCCACCTGCATGGCGTTTGCGAAGAGCTCGCAGTGCATGCATGATGTCTCGTTACCACAGACTTTGGTGCCCATAAGTCGCCTCGTTCGCGGTGGTTCGCATGCGGTGCGACAGTTTGATACAAAAGATGGGAGCGTCCAATGTTGTTGTCTCTGGGAAGCTCCTGTCATCAGAGCGGCAGCCAGGCATCCAGGCAGCTGCACGGTCTTGGCGGCAGAATTGTCTCGGGGAAGGCACTCTTCGTCTCCAAACTGCATCAATGAAGACATGCATGCTGTTGCTATACAAACTTGCTGACCTCATTGCCATTCACCCTTCTCGAGTGAATGGCAGTACCCGTGACGCAATGCGCCCGCTTGGGTGAATGTGCATGTGGGCGCTTGTGCTCCTTTGTTAAGTCGGCTGGCGAGGCGCAGTTGACGCCTCAAACTTGAGCTGAGCCCGCACATCCACCACGGCGGCCTCAATCATCCTAGTCAGAGCGAGCCGCCAGCATCCCACTCACGTCCAGTATCGCAGCGCATAACGGGCGACAGTGCTAGCCGCCATTGGGCTGAGGAACTAGCATTGCCGAGCGCCTCCCTAGCTCTGCTCCACCGCCATGGCGAGCAAGATCATGGACAGGGTAAGTAACCGCTTTTATCCTGCTTGCTTTGTTGTTTGTTTGGGGTTGGACTGTTCCTGCAAGTCTCCTGTAAGCTAATTTTAATTCCTCGACGCAGCTCACTCGCCGCACTTCACACAAACACAAGACCTCACTCGACAACGAGTCCAAGGAACCGGTAGTGGAACCACGAAAGAAATCCTCAAGACTTTCCCTATTCCGGAGGGGTGTTCCAACAGAAGCTGGGATGGGCTCGAGTGACTCGAGCGATTTGACTGCTCAATTCGCGCGCCAGGTTGAGCTGCTTGAAGGATCGGAGGCCTACGCCGTCGACAAACAAAAGCTGCTAACAGAAGAGCGCGATGCCGCCTGGGATGAGCCTGCCCGCAAGTCTGCGAGTAAGGTCGAAGTCGCCGCGAACTCGATTGTGATTGCAATCCGAGAGGACGAGCGATATGCAGAAGACTTGTACGGTAACCGGCCAGGTGAAGCCGTACCGGGGAAAGAAACTCGCGACATGGGCGGTCGATTTCTGGTAAACAAGGACCGCATCGATCGTAGCAAAGTCTTTGACATTGCGACGCGGATGCCCAAAGGCGCTCATCTACATTTGCACTTCAATGCCGAATTGCCAGCAGAAATCCTGCTACCACTCGCTCGATCGACAGTAGTCGAAGACACTATGTTCATCCGGAGCACCAAACCATTATTGGAAACAGAGGACTTCGATGACTGCGAGATCGTGTTCGATGTCCTGCCTAAGGACACTGCACAAGGCGACCTGTTTTCCTTGGACTATGACCCAACCTGCAAGACGAAGGACCATCCGAGATGGCAGCAAGGCACCGCTTGGATGTTGTGGCACAACTTCCGTGAGCGCTTCCCCAAAGGCGTGTCCATCGAGAACTACGACCCGGACGACGCCTCGCTAGGTGCAGCCGAGCAGTGGGCACGAGACAAGATGATCATCACGCGTGACAAGGCCTATAGACCGGGACAGACAACAAACGGTGTCTGGGCATGCTTCAATCAAGGCACCCGAGCGTTCAAGGGCCTTCTGAATTACGAGCACGTGTATCGATGGTACATTGGCCATGCCATTGACAGCATGATCGCAGACAAGGTCATGTACGCGGAACTGCGACCAATGCTTCTGGACAAAGACATTCCGGCGAACGACGGCATAGGACGGCTTGATCATGCAGCGCAGATGACAATCATTTGCGAAGAGCTCGCCAAGAAGGAAGCCGAACTCAGAACGGCTAATAAACTGCACCTCTTTCCATTCGGGATCAAGATTATCTACTGCACGCCTAGAAGCATACCGCGGAAGCGAATGCAGACTGAGCTGGAAAATTGCATTCGGCTGAAGCTTCGATTCCCACACCTGATCTGTGGCTTCGACCTCGTAGGCGCTGAAGACAGACCGAACCACATTGGGTTCTACGCTGACCTGCTACTTGCTTTCGTCAGCACGTGCAAAGAGCTCGACATCAGCATACCGTTCATGTTCCACGCGGGTGAGTCTCTTCTGGATACGGGTGGATCTCACAACCCCGACAACAGCAACCTGTACGACTCGTTGCTGCTCAACGCAAAGCGAATAGGCCACGGGTACGCTCTGCTGAAGCACCCGACACTACTCAAGCCATTCAGAGACGAGCAAATCTGCTTGGAACTCTGTCCCGTCTCCAATGAGCTTCTGGGGCTGTGCGGTAACATAAGAGAGCATCGGTTCTACGAACTACTAGCCGCAGGACTTCACTGCACTCTCAATGCCGACAATCCGTCGTTGTTCAGGTAAGTACCAGCACCTGTGTTGGACAACGCGCCATTCTAACGTCTCCCAGGGGCCCTTCACTCGACAACAAGTCCTTGTCATATGAGTTCTACCAGGTTCTCGTAGGTGATCCGAGGATGAACATCCACGGCTGGAAGCAGCTCGCGCACTGGAGCATCGACCACTCGTGTCTCGACCACAACCAGAGGATGCAGCTGAAAGCTACATTCGATGACGAGTGGGAGACGTTCTGTCAGTGGGTCGTGGATACTTATCAGGATTTTGCTGCGACGCTGCCGAAGCTCGAGTAAGGAAAGGTAATGGGCGAGGCTTCATTTTTCACGGCTGAGAAGCAGTTTCGAAATTAGCTGCACACTTCGAGCGGAGTTCGAACGCGCATTACGACGTGATGCGGAGCTATAGCAGCGCGTGTCGCATGAAGTAGGTCAGAGAGCTTGCAGAAGCTGATGTGTATACCCGTTTGCCTTTCTTCACATCGGTATGCAAGCCACTGTTTGTAGCTCTCAACACAATACCCGCTTCACTTCATTTCCAAAACTCTTCCACCTGACACCACCCCAAACTTTCTTTTTGCTCCCCCACACAAGTAAACCATACTCTCGACCAACTCGCTCTCCAGCACTGCAACAACAATGGACCAAGTAAGTACAACCAGCAATGGCGTGGCGGCGGCGGCAGGCGGCGGAGTGAGCATTGGGGCGGCGATTGGAATCGCCTTTGGCGCATCTGCGGTGACAGCAGTCACCATCCTTCTTCTCTGGTGGAACTCGCGGCGCCGAGCCAACTCGAGGGCCCGCCGCGGCGGCGTGGAATTCGGCATGATGAACGGAGAAGACCGTCGCTCTCTCTCCGTGGAGGAGGTGAACTCCTCCAGCCCAGCACCAGAAGAGGACCGCTCCCCCTCGACCTCCTCCCTCGCTCTCGAAGAAATGCTCGATCTGGACAGCACCAGAGCGACCCCAGCCTCAGTCCGCAGCACGCCGTCCAGATCGAAGCACGAACCAAATCTCGACTCGATCTCTGAGGCCAGCGAGCCTTCTACGACCTCTTCTCCGGCTGCGACTCCTCCTCTATCGAATTTGTACACTCCATCACTGTACCGAGCAGCACCACCAGACAGTATTCAGCAGCAGACACGCCTGGCACCACCAAATTTGACCACAGAGTATTCGATTGCATCGCTGGAAGGCTATGAGGAGTTTGCACCATGGATTGATCCCGAAGCTATTCAAGTACGAGACGAGCAGGACGAGCAGCAAGGATTGTAGCGATCACGACATTGGACGGCATGGCAGCGAGTATTGCGGCAGAGATTCGGAAAGGATTGGCCAGTATCAGACCTTTTTCAGACATTCGACACAACATTGGGCATAGGAGGACCACTTTGCAAACACTACTTCAGCCGAAGGGCGACAGAATCCATTGCCAGAGCATAGCCAGGGGGAAGAATGCATCGATTGATATGACGCGGCTCGAGACCAGTATGAGCCTACGAAATGTACACCTTCTTCAACTCCTTTTCATCCCACTCATGTTCCATATCGGTAGGGTCCTTGATCCTCCCCGGCTTCGTGCCTAGTTTTTCATTGAGCCTGTACAGCCTCTCCCGCCCGAATACGCGACCATTTGGCAATACCACCGGATCCTCCTCCATGTGACTCTTCGTATGATGTGCATATGGAACACTCCGTGCGAGCTCGTTGAGCTCAGTGCTACAGATGGGGCAAACCGGTGCACCGGTGTTAGCGCTTGTTTGCAGTGCGAATTGTGAGTGACAGCTAGGGGTCTTTAGTGCTGATAGACCGGCGGAGAGTGCGATGTGAATAAGTGGGTGAGTGGGCAAATTGAATAGCTCGTGGTGAGTCCTGACGAAATGCTCAGCGAGATAAGCGTAGCGGTCAGAGTTGTACATGTCCTGCAGAAGTATTAGCAAAGGGACAGAAGGATAGATGGTGAAACGAAACTTACCTGGTAAGGCTCAACAGGAGTGTCTGCGGGATGGGCGAGAAGGCCAGCGGCCTTGAGACCAAAGGCTGGGTCTTGATCGCTAGCCAAGAATTTACGTGCGTGAAAAATGGCATCAACCTGTTTCCCACTCCGTGCAAGCTCAATGCATTGTTGAAGACGCAGCTCGAGCTCGAGTTTGCTGTTAATCTTCTTGAGCGCCTGCTTGTTCTCGCTGCACCACGCCAGACACTCCTGAGTGCGACCTGAACGCAGACTGTGTTCTATGCGTCCGCATTCTTCAAACACTTCTATGTCCACCAGATCATTCACGTCTTTCTCGGCTGCTAGCTCTTTGGCACTTTGGGTGTAGCCTTGCCGCAACAGGTAGTCGACAAGCAGCCGGTCCAGCCGAGTATGTGACCACTTGTCGTACTTGACGTCTGCAAGACTGGGTATCTCGTGAAGCTGCTGGAGGTGCTGAATGCGAGCCCGCTGTTGGCGGTGGATCTGCTGTTCCTCGGCATGGAGGGCCTCCAACTTGCGCTTCAGACTCTGGGCTTTTGCCAGCGTCGCTTCCAGCGAGGCGAGGGTCTGCGTGGGCTTCTGGCCAGCAGCAGCGGAGGCGGCGGTTTGTACATCCTTCTGCAGGTTCTTGCTCGTCAGCTCGATGTTTCGCTGGGCGGCCTTGAGGTTCTTGCGGAGCAGCTCGTGGGGCAGGCGTAGCAGCGGCTGGTCCAGCAGCATCTGCGAGTCCGCGTCGAGCCTCGTCGTCGTCATTTCGGCCATGGCTGCGGCGATGAGGATACCTGGCGATGGATCTCCGTCCGTGTCGTGGGTCGTGGGCCGACTGCTCTGACGCCTGCGTCACTGCCAGTGCGCGGAAGCATGTGAGCTCCAGTCTGTACGCAACGACCAGGCCAGGTACCGTCCAGGATCACCTTCCCTGAATAGGAATAAGCGGGAACGACTGGCCCACCTCTTGCATCACTGGTCGTCAGAAACCGCATTGCGATGCCACATATATTCGACACTTTTCTTCTCCGCTGCGGTACAGTCACCAATTCACACTCAACTACAGCTCACAGATCGCAATTCTGATCGACTTTGCTCAATCAACTCATCCAAAAAGTGAGCGTAGAGAAATATCAATGCAATGATAGCTACCACTAACACTGATTGTTGTAGGAACCTCACACGACCAACACACATCATGTCTGGCACATCAGAGACCGCACACCTGACCAAGGAGGACATCAAGAAGGAGCAGGCTCGCGAGTCTAAAGCTCATGGAGGCAATGTTCCAGCCGATTCTCTTACTGCCGGCCTCCAGGTACGTCGACGATCGATAAATTTGAACATTTTGGAAGAATAGTTTACTGACTGTATCGTAGTCTGTAGTCGACTCCGCAGATAAGAACAAGAGCGAGGTCATTTCTGAACGTCAAGCAAACCTTCCTCTGCCCGATCAGCCCCCTGTCGCCTCCGACTTCAACAGCTCCGACCAGTCAACCGTCAACGTTGGCTCTGGCGGCCTCTCTGGCGGAGGTTTCTCCCAAGGCAACGACGCACTGCGCGAGCCAGCTACTGGTGGTAGCGCTGTTCGGGAAGATGGCGATGTCACTGGCAGGAACACTTTGGGACAAGGTGTCGGACGTCAGGCTGCGGATGGACTTGGAGGACTTCCAGCAGATGCGGTGGCTCAAGGCTCAAAGAACAAGGCTGGTCTTGCCGACACAACCGGGAAGGACTACGGCTACCCACACAAGAGCGACCCAGCAAACACCAACTAAGCGGGTCGCTTTTGTTCGTCTGCTTCAGGTGGTCTTCCATGCTTATGCTACGATGTCATGAGTGTTACGATTGAGAATTAGAGGTTTCTGGTCGGCGTCAGTCGCGCTGGTCAGGACTTTGTTACAATAGCGTTGAGATACTTACTTGCCGCTGAGGCAGAAGAGCCATGTCTCTTGTTGGAGCCTTTCACAAATGTCAGAAAACTGTATCATAACCGATATCAAGGACCAGTTCTTGGAGATCCGAAAATAGTATTGTTCACAGAGATCGTTCTCATCGTTTCCTCGAATTTCTATGCCTGAAGTGGGGTCCTGACCCTGGGTATAACAGTATCAAGCAGCAAAGTGTGGCGTGCGCGCGATCCGAAGGTGGCTTGGTGGATGCGGAATGATCTGTCGTGATGAAACTGGAGGACCCTCCACACCTTATGCGATGCGGTCTCATCTCAGCAGCTTGTAGTTTGCGTCATGGAGGCGTAATGTAGGCAATGCTCTAGAAAAGAGCTCGAACTGTCACAGAAGTTCAGCATCAAGAACAATACCCTTTAGCTACTCACTTGTCAACACACTTCGTCGTAAAACACACCAAGCACATCTCAGTATCATGTCTTCATCTGCAGGTCAGAAGGTCAGTAACGACACTTTCAGATATCCTGCATTGCCCTGTGGCTGACATGTCTCAGGTCACCACCGACCCAGCAACCCAGAACAACCCGAAGAACGAGGCACCAGGCACCGTGACCTCCGACTCTCTCGCTGCCGAGTCAGTCAATGCCGGTGGTAGTTTCGCAGAGAACTCCGACTCAAGAGGTCCAAGTGCGCAACCGAGCTACTCAACCACAACAAACACCACCGACACCTCAAACGCGACGAAACTAGACTCCACCACGTCAGCTTCAGCTCGAGGAGACGACGGCGCTCAACTCGGAGGTACTGGTTCATCCTCCTCAACTACTGCTACTGGCGACGCCAGTGCTCAAGGCCACACTTCTTATGCACAAAGCGTAGCTCAACCCAAGGGCCAGAACCTTCAAGAGGGAGGGTTCGACTCTGGAGCACCGAACGCGTCTTTCACAACCGATATTGGAGGCAAGAACGACCCCGGCCGCGTTGCACTCAATGCAGCACAGGAGAAGAATGTGCCCTCTTCAGGCGGTGCCGGTCCACGAGAGGGACAAGTCTCGAATGATGGCCAGTTCGATAGCCTTGGAGAGACCTCGGCTTAAATCAAAGCTCAAGAGAGATCTTGCATAGCATAGCATCACGCTGTTGGCTCTGAGACCACGATTTCTCGGCTCACTGCTCAAAGACTTGTCGAACGCTCGTCAGGTGGGTAATGTGTACAAATGAGGCCGAGGAAGGCATCGCTCAAGGACAACGAGGAACTTGGATGGGGAAGAAGCAAGTGCATATTCTGGTGAAAGTGGACTACCTGCTAGAACGTCGATTAGCGGAGCGAGAGCTATGAATCGTTACCACTTATACGCGTGATGCGTGACTCCTTGTGCGTCTCCAAAGTTCTCCGCGGTTTTCTCAAGGCTCATTTCACATCGTGTGACTCTTGCGTTGCCATGAGCGGACCGTACGATGGCAAAGCTGTAGAATGATCATGTTATTAATGATGATCAAGCGTGAACGGGACGCGTCTCAATGGATATTGTGGATGTGTTGAAGCTCGAGAGGCAAGCTTCGAATGGGAGCGTCACGTGCCGGCGCGGGGCAGACGTGTTGCACTCAGCGTCTTACTGCCAGCTTTTAACGCAGAATAAGCCGCAATAGATCGTTCTTGATCGCCGTTGGCATGATATTGGCCTTTGCAGATGAAAGTACAGCTTGACGCAGATGGTCTCGTGGATGCGAGCTTGACGAAGGGCTTGTGGAGGCTGGTCGAAGATCCACAGCAGGCAAGTACCAAGACTGCGTCTGTGCGTAGAACGCGTTCTCCAGCGCGTCTCACCTCCGCCCGTCGACAACAATGCCCACGAACACGCCTAACAGACAACAGTGATGGACCACGCGAACAGTGCAGCTGAAGAGACTCACGAGTTCCCTGACCATCACCCAAGCAACTCACAAGATGATCTGTCATCGAGTGTAGATGAGAAAAGACAAGCACGTCAGAAGCGGAAGAGAACCAGGCATGCCTTTTCGTACCGTGATTGTCATGTCCTTTCAACTGACCTACTCCGCATAGCCCTGATGATCAGGCAGTACTTGAAGCTGCGTACAAGAAAGATCCCAAGCCTGACAAGGCTGCACGCCTCCAGCTCGTCGAGCAAGTGGCATTGACCGAGAAAGAGGTCCAGGTCAGCACCATTCAGTACTCGTGCGCGTACAATCACGATCTAATGCAAACTACAGATCTGGTTCCAAAACCGCAGGCAAAGCTGCAGACGAAGGTCTGGCCGACCTCTATTGCCGCACGAAATCGCGCAATATCATATGGCGAGGTCGACAGGTCTTGGCCACGACGACCTGGATGGATCGCTAGTCGCAGACGCAAACATGCCACAATTTGGCGACGATCTCAGAACGGACAGGAGATATGATCAGACTGCCACCATATCGGTAGGCCAATACGATGTACCGGACACAGGCGCGGCCCAGGACTCTACAACACCTCCCAACTCGCCGCCGCTAGCCCAGCTGCTCGCCTCAGGACCACCTCTATCGAGAACAACTTCGACATCATCACCCATATTGACGAGAGTGCCAACGCACATAGGCTACCTGGCTAATCAACGAAGTGCACCCTCGTTACATCGGAGCTTTTCGGAAAATGCCACAACCCATCCTGTAACGAAAGAGACTCCTGCTCCAAAAAGACCTCGCGCTATCCGCCTGTCAATGGACTCAGAAGGGAACGCCATAGTCACCACAAAGGATACTTCCTCGCCTTCACCACCACGTCCGCCGCAATCCATCTTATTGCCCGAGCCAACTAGCATACCCACTCCCGCGCTATCCACCGCCATGAGTGGCACCAAGCGATCCACGAATGGGCGTTCACGGGACTCACGATCCTGGGAGTTCTGGTGCGACAAAGAGGCGCGCTCTGAACTTGAAAATGTGGCCGAGAAGGATTCTCATGGCTCCGCGGCTGGTGCAATAGGTCTGCTCCGGTCAGCGTCAGGGCGAAGTGTACTAAGTCCACTCAATTCGAAGCGTAATGCTCCAGCGGACAGTCACGGACACTCAGCGAAACGATCAAAGCTTGGACATAAGCGTTCTTCGTTACAGCGATCGCATACCTCCGCTGGTCGGCTTCAGGGCAAGACAGGCAGCACACACATGCCATCGAAACTCAAGCATTCGGGCTCAGCAATCACAGTTCGCAGAAGTGGCGCTGATTCTGACAAAGAGAATTGGTCGCCCGGTGTCAACTTAGGATCTGACCCCGCGTCTGACGACTCGAACGAAGCGTACTTGGTGCCTATGGCTGCCCCAAGGCAGAGTGGTATCCGCCAAACCTTGTCGCCCAACAAGAAGCCGCGAACTCTCCGGGCCGGTGTGGACGACCCGGAGGCGGATCCCGAACTGTCCTCATTCATGGCGAGAGGCCGTGAAAGCGGTGGCGCAGCGTCAGCAGATGCGGACCTTGATTGTATACAAGGGCTATTGCGCCTTAGCCAAGGCTCTTGGAAGAGATAAGACGACTACTTCTTGTATTCGCCTTGGAAGTAGCAGGCTTGGATGAGTCTGCAGAAGCCGGTTGGTCCCAACGCTCTGCTGATGCTGCGTTGAATGTGATCGCAGCATCGGACGTGCCTCAGGGCAGGAATAGCAAATCAATATGGCACGCGTACAAGCAAGCTCGCCATAGGCAACGCCAATGCATCTGGTAGAAGCCCGTGAAAGCAATAGATGCAGCTGTAGCTGTGAACAAGCTCGCAGGTCGTAGGGTAACAGCACCTATCGCGAGTCACCGAAGCTGTGACTCGGCCGTAAAAAGTCGCGAGTAGGGATAAAACATCTGAAAAGACGTCGAGAGATGGCTTGCCAAACTTGAGCTTTCATATCAACAAATCTCCGCCATGACACCTACAATGCATGTTTCTCATTATGGTGATTACCATTCAGCATGCCAAAGCTGTCGACACGCCTGTTCTTGCGTCCGTATACTTCCTTCGCCCACTCGCTAATCTGGAAGCACCACCCGCCCGCTACCAAAAGCCCCGACACCACGTTCACGATTCGGATGAAGAGAGCGGGCAAAGAGCTCCAAGTCTCCGCAATGGTAAGCTGTATTGGCTCAATGGTGAACTTGACAAAGACGCCCGGTACCGCGGTCTCTGGCACAGGATGTGATTGGTCCGTGACTGCGTATTGGTTTGTGAATACCGTGTTCCTGGTACTTCTCCTCGAGTGCTGATTGAGGCCATCCTCTCCTGAAGTTGGAGATTCGTGGTATTTGTCAATCTTCCGCAGTGCTTTCGGATCTGTGGTGTATATCGTTGGCACGACCGATAGGTAGTACTGGTATTTGTAGAAGTGCTCCTCGGTGGTGGCGAAGGTGTTGTCGAGTGGGTTCGTCAACGAGGGGTAGTAGGGTCCGAAGGACATTTCGTTGAAGCGATGGCTGAAGTTGAAGGCTGGTGATCAATTAGCAATGGTTCCGACAACATCCACATATTCAAGAACGCGACCACTCACCACTGTGGTCTAAATGCTGACCAAACTCCATGTATCCATGACCTCTAGCCGTGATGTGGAAATCGCCTTGCACCTTGTTGCCATGCATACTGCCAAATATCCGGCAGCTGTCCCCCTCTATCCCTCTGGGAAGTCTAGGTGTCTTTGAGAACTTTTTGCCCCTTCGCACATTCCCAACATAATCGTGAACATCTTCTTCCCGGTATTCAGCAAAGCCTGGATAGCCCGTCAAGTCGAGTCGCTCCTCCTTCGTCGATCCCAGGGCGTGAGCCTTCCGATTGCCTGACCACTGAGCCCACATGGTTGGGTCTTTCTGGAATATCGTTCCTGCAAGAATACGGTCGCCGGATGCATCTTGCACATTGACGTGCAGATCATCACAATGCATCCTCACCACCACGTCCAAGTTGATCTGCAAGTCGTGACCCACGCCCTGCTCCACGGCGAAGAGGTGAGCAGTCTCCCCCTTCCACCACCGAGTGAGTTCACTCCATGCAAGCAAAATCGATGCTGCAATCAGTGTGACTGTCCATATGCCGCCTGTCGATGTTCGCTCCTGATATGAGGGTTTCGTCTTCGGGAAGGCATCGAACGCTTTGACAGCCGCAAGAGCGCCGCTGCTGCCAAAGTTGTCCTCGTCGAGTCCGTGATCCTTGAATCCATCCATGTCGGCGGCTTGACAGCTTTCGTGCTGTCGGTCGAAAAATGTTACCGCGGAGGCATTGGTGCAGCGTTGATGCAGATGGAGCAAGGTGTCAAGTCCCCAGAAATCACAGGAGCTGGGGGGACCCTGACCACTAGCGCGGGACCGGTTCGCGTGGCTTTCAGCCGCGGAGGACAAGTGAATGGACGTTAATGGCGATGATTCGGTGGACTCGTGAGTTTACTATGAGCAGAGCGTCATAGAATGATCGATCATGCACCATCAATTTCACGGCTTCTACATGTATTTAGGGAGTGTCGATGCTGATGCACCGGCAGCTTTCGAAGTGTCGCCGGCCTTTAATTAGATTCCGGCTTAAGTAAAGTTTGCTTACAATATTGAAGCATTGATGAAGGGCGTCAACTTTTCGAACAACAAAGTAAAGACAAACCCGGTTCTTGATTCACAAACAACACCGTCCTCACGCAAAACAACTTCAGACGAGATGGCCACTCCTTCCGGAAACGGGCCTGTTCAGCCCGGCATCTTCGAAGACCTCCAGCGCAAGATCGACGCAGACGCTGCAATCAAAGATGTAAACAATTTTGTGATGAAGCCCACGATGAGCACCTACTGAATCCACGTGAACAGGAACTAAGAGAAATCGTCCAAACACTTGAGAAGCAGGGTGAGATGGATCGATGAAAGGCTCAAGAGGACCTGTGCTGATTGATTCGAAGACCGCAACACGCAATCCATCCTTTCAAGAGCTCATTCCACGACCGCCCAAGACTGTAAGCAAGGATATATATGTTGGTTTGCACATGCCGCTGATATCCTGTAGTGCCCGTTGTGGTGCAAGCAGCACAGTCTAGCATTCAGAATGCAGTCGTCACGATTCAGCAATTAGCACAGGTCGCTTCAAACCACCCATACTATCGTTTCAATTATGCGTGGCAGAAGCAGATTGAGAGCTCGGTCAGTGACTCTGCGAGCCGCTTCACAACTAGCCCTGCTAACAGATCGCAGACATTCAACATATTGCTATGCGGCTTTCTGGGTGGCTTCGGAAAGACGGAGGGCGGCCAGCTTCTGACGATCGATGAAGTCGGCGGCATCATGCAAGTACCAGTGAACGTCAAGGATCGAGACGTCTTCCACTTGACGATCGAAGAGTACCTCTTGGCGCTGATCTCGCTCCTCGAAGAGCTGTCCCGGCTGGCTCGCAATTCAGTCACGCTCGGAGACTACCAGCGTCCGCTGCAGATCAGTCAATTCATCAAAGACGTCCACGCTGGCTTCCAGATCCTCAACCTCAAGAATGACGCTCTACGGAAGCGAAGTGACGGGATCAAGTACAAGGTGAAGGAGGTGGAGGACGTTGTTTACGATCTCAGCCTTCGTGGCTTATTGACCAAGAGTTGAATGCTTGCTGGTTCTGTCCAGTATGCTGCGAAGACCATGCGTATCTGCTCTCCCGAGACCTCTGTCTCTCAGGGGACACGCCCGACATAGACCGGTAGCACTTCCTGGCCTTTGCGGGTAGAGCTGAGCAGCATATGCTTCATCGAATCAATCCCGAATGGCGCCGTGCATTGCAGCGCCTCTGTGGTCGCCATTCGCAGCACATTGAGTACTTGTACAATCGCAGACTCAAATTCTGCTCATCTTCCCAGGCCCATGCTTCCCTGTTGCTGCATCTGCGCATTCTGCTCTTGAAAGCGCTCGCCCAACCGCTCGGAGCTCTTCAGGAACTTGTCGACACATCGCATCACGCATCCCTCCTCCTTACTCGACAGGCTCTTGGATGTGAAATCGCTGACGCAGTCGTTGAAGCATCGCTGGACGAGGTTCGAGTACATCTGTTGATATCAGTCGCGTATTCCGAAAGGTGCATTGAATTGCAATGACGCACGTTCATAAAGTCCTTCATCTGCTTGCGTTCGATGCGAGTCTGCAGCTCGCGCTGCTCTGCCGCATTGAGACTTGGCCGTCGTTAGCGAGGGTCTCCAAAGAGAGCGCGCTGATGCGCATACCTATCCATTGTGTGTGGTGCCCCGTCTGCTACTGTGTACGATGAAACGGCGATGCGAGGGTGCGTGGCTTGGGGGTGGAATCGAAGGCGGCTCGTTGCTGTGCATGCAGCGCAGACAGCATCAAGTTTCCCAGAGGAGGGTCTGCTAAACGAGCCTAGCGCGCCGAGCGACCGAGTGAGTTGCGACACAGACCTGCCTGCACGGCTCGAGCCTGGCAGCAGACACAACAGACGCCCGCCCACTCTGCCACACGCTGCTGCGCAGTCTGCTGCCGGCCACCTGCTGCCCGCTCGACTGCGCATCACCGCTATCTGCAGCCCACATCATTACCGCCCGCATTGCGGACGCCGCGACACCGCGCACAAACACCCGCCGCGCCAACGACAGCGAC